AGTAAGCATAATACCACGAGCCTGAAAACTAAAGCACAGGAATCCAGTCATCCTTCATTTTATGTTTTACACTTTTGTTTTGGGCTTTTGTTTCAAGTCAAACTATCATGCATGGAGAAAAAACAACACATGACTACTTCATGAATCAAGTCACATCACAGTGAGACTAAGCAACCGCATCTCTCCCCGTCTCTCACCAGGCCACGGAGGAGAAGGAGGAGATGGAGGAGCTGCAGGCATACAACCGCCGCCTGCTCCACAACATCCTGCCCAAGGACGTAGCCGCCCACTTTCTTGCACGGGAACGCCGGAATGACGAGTTGTACTACCAGTCGTGCGAATGCGTCGCTGTCATGTTTGCCTCCATCAGCAACTTTTCTGAGTTTTACGTGGAGCTGGAGGCGAACAACGAGGGCGTGGAGTGTCTCAGGCTCCTCAATGAGATCATCGCCGATTTTGACGAGGTGAGATGAGGCTAAAGCGTGTGAAAAAAAAAAATGCACATTGAATTAGTGTAGAAAACGTTTGCTGAATATATTCAGCTGTGTTCGATGCCGTATTGCCTATTTGTGGTTGTTTGTGTTGTTCTGCCGCCATAAAAGTTTGCGTTCCTCGCCTCTAGATTATCAGCGAGGAGAAGTTTCGTCAGCTGGAGAAAATCAAGACCATCGGCTCTACCTACATGGCAGCCTCTGGCCTCAATGACTCCACTTACGACAGAAAAGGTCGTTCACACATCCTGGCTCTGGCCGACTACGCCATGAGGCTTAGAGAACAGATGAAATACATCAACGAGCACTCCTTCAACAACTTCCAGATGAAGATAGGTAAGCCTGCAAGGAAGCAGATATTAACCGCGAAACGTCATGTGATAAAACTTTAAAATTACTTTCTATTGCAGAGGTGAATCAAATGTATCCACTGCCTCAGAGTCAACATTATAATTGAGGGAACATGGTGTAAGTAGCATGACGTCACATGGCCAGGTGTTTTGCTCTCAGGGTTGAACATGGGGCCGGTGGTAGCAGGAGTGATTGGAGCCAGGAAACCCCAGTATGATATCTGGGGGAACACAGTCAACGTGGCCAGCCGGATGGACAGCACAGGAGTACCAGACTGCATCCAGGTACTGACCCCCAACTTCTCTCAGCACGACATCGGCATCAGCAGTTTGCAACTTTATGTTCCCAATGAGCATTTTGTAATTATTTCTAAGTGAATCAGCCAATGCAAAATACTGATCCAATTACTGATCATTATGCGGTTATCATTAGTCATGCAATATGAAAGTGTGTGTCAGTTATGTTTACTCATAAACATAACTGACACAACTGACATAACTGACACACATAAAGGGCCCTTGAGCAAGAATCCCTGGCTCTACGCCCTTCTGGAGAAGAGCATTATTCTATTCTTAAAGGCAGATGAGTGCTGTCATTCAGGTTAGGTAAGTTCTTTATTGTCTGTGATTCATGGAGCTGTAGTGAGTTCAAATTTAGAAATTAGGCTTTTGCAAAGATTATAATCAAAACAATGCTGCCACCTGCTGAGCAGTATCAGCTACTGCAAGTAAAATGGATTCATTACTTAGACCATCAAATATTAGACACATATGGAAACGTCCACTTTGGGTATATTTAACCAGCAATCATCAACTATGTTATTAACACAGGAGCACAGCAAATCTTCACATTAGAGATAAGTCCAAAATATATTAAATTAATAGAGACAATTTCCCACCTTTCTAAAGTTAGAACTAGGCAATATTCTGTTCTTATTGTATGCTTGATAAATAACTCAAATTATTGTTGTTGACTGATTTCCAGTCAATTCACCATTTCAGCCGTAGTAGATAAGTCGATGTTTCTCTGTACTGCTACACAAAATATACCACTTTCTCAAACCCCTTTTCTATATCTCATCTGTGGAGACACCTGAGGCAGATCAATCAACGAGAAATGGGGACTGACAGTGTTTCGCTGTGTCTCACATTCCGGGTGTCAAAATGTCCCCGTCCTCCCTTAGGTGACCACGGATCTATACCACGTGCTGGTCAACAACGGGTACCAGCTGGACTGTCGAGGTGTTGTCAAGGTGAAGGGGAAGGGGGAGATGACCACTTACTTCCTCACCAGCGGTCCTGCGGGCAGTTAACGTCAGGCAGGCCGACCGCAGCGTGACTCCCACTGCACTGACGAGCCGGAGACTGCAGAGACACAGAGAGTGGTCAGCTCGCGCTGATGAGCGTCAAAGCACGGTGCGAACACGCCGGGGACAGGAGAGAAGAGACAACGGACACGAGCCCGGCACGTCGGTATTTTGTCGAGTGCTCTGATGCGCGCGCACACGTAGGACGTTGTTCATGTTTTCCCAAGCTGAGATCACAAAGCCCAGTTGCCTTAGGACGGAAGCGACTTTGCTTGTGTATGTGAGCAATAATACAAGTGTTTCATCTGTAGTCGATATTTATTTTGGTGCGGATGGATTTATGGTATGACCTTGTACAAAAAAAGGAGTATATATACAAAAAAACTTGACTTAAAAAGATATTATGCAAGGACAACATCGAGGATGAAAATGACCAAAGAACAAATGTTAGTTATGAAACACACACTTATGATTCTGTTCAATGGTACGTAAACCTAAGTAGTTATTCATCTTTTGGCATTAAAGGCCACAGTAATGTCACTGTCATCGATAGGGACGAACACTTTTAATGCTGTGGACTTATTCATGAAGGAGATCAGAGGCACACATTCGCAGATAGAAAACCCTCACAATAACCTTGGCTTGGACTTGTGTGTTTCTTATCAGGGCCTTCTTTGTTTCGTTTAGCCTGTGATTAGCCAGAGTCTGCACACAAGGCTGTTTGTGCTCCACTGAAATGTGCGATCGATTACTCGCTCCCCGCAATGTACCTTTGGTCAAAGCCCAAAACAAGAAGTACGAAATGAAGGAAGAACAGTTGCATTAGTATCCCGGATACTGAAGAGAGATTCATCAAACTGCTATGAAATGTTTTGTATAAGTGTGGGTGAGAACCGCGTGTCTGGCTGTGCGTGTGTGTGTGTGCGTTTGTGTGTGTGTGTGTGTGTGTGTGTGTGGGGGGGGGGGGGGGGGGGGGGGGTAGGGGGGATGAGCACACATAGCTAAACGCTGATCTTTACCTAGGAGCATACTGTAACTTTTCACTGTGAGGTTTTTATGATACTGTATGACGATGCTTTTTGCCAAACCGGTTGCTGCAAGGCATGTTTTATATTATTCCTCAGAGTTGTGTCCTCGGAGTCCTATTCCTGATTTCTCGTGTCAAAACGCTAATTTGAAGAGAGTCGTGTGCACTGCGCCTTTTACTGGTCTCTGATTTTGACTGATTTCACTCCAACTTAAATAAGCAAAAGCCTATGAAGCGTTTATTTTGTATTGTGTTACAACGTGTCAACATAAAGCGGTTTGCCGATGGCTTCAGGATAAACTATTTGCAGGAATTATTTGTCTGCTCACAAGTATTGCCTTGAGATTAAACAGTTACAAGATCTGCATACTTCATGGACCAACATTCACAACTTTACACAACAGTATTTGACCCCATCTGGTTATAATGGCACATGGAGGCTTGTAACCCCCTAAAATTAGTGTTTTCAAACAATAATCATATGAATGTATGTAATGACTACCAACTTTGTCCACAATAAACTACTTCTGAAGGAAAACGCTATACATCGCCTTTACTAGAGGCCAAATTGATAGGACACCTGTTGAAAAGTGATGGTATTTTACATTTAGACGACGATTAGACACATTTAGACACCTTGTGTTACGATATCTCACATTTCTGTCCGAGCCCAAAAAATGCTGCCTTCAAAGGCTACGGAAAAAAAAACCTTGCTTTCCTTAAAATGAAAGGTCAACTAAACACTTGTGTTTTCCTTTAAAAAGTGTAAGAAATAGTGCAATGATTTACTTGATTAGTTCACCCCTGGACTATAAATAATAAATTGCTGTTTTTGCATTGATTGTGTTTATCAGATTTCTTCATTTATTTATTCCTGTGGAGGCTTTGTAAAGAAGTGGTAGTAAACCGCTCAGCGAGCTCCCGTGTCAATCAGCAGTCTGCAATCAGGATTTCTCCTTGTGACAGTAACCTGAGAGAAGCCTCCTTCTCCTTTTCTGAATAAATCAGTCTACAGTTTCAAGAGGGTGGTACAGGAGAGCATTTAATTGCTTGCACATGAATAATGAATTTCTGTTGAGGTAATGGCAATGTTCACTCACAGCACTCTATGCTGAACATTAATTAAGCATCATGAATTCCTACTAATCCCTGATGAAAAAGCACCAATGTTATAGGCTCAGGATACAGGGACTGGTCTTTGAACTTACATTGTAACTACATAGCTCATCATGATCACACTTTTTATTAATATCAACTATTTTTTATTTATTTCTTTGTATAAGTCTGTTTTTGTTTTGATTCTATCCACTCTATCATTATATCATATTATTATCATATTAATGATTATTTCACTTTTTATTTGCGTGTTAAATGTTTCCCGATGGAAGGGCTCTTTGAGGCTCTTGGAGGGTCATGGAGGCTCTTTGTGGCTCTTGGAGGGTCTCGGCGGCTCTTGGAGGGTCATGGAGGGTCTCGGCGGCTCTTGGAGGGTCTCGGCGGGTGTCGGCGGGGCGGGGAGCGGCGCGTCGAGGCGGCGCGCGGCCGGCAGGGGACTCCCCGCCTCCCCGCAGCTAATCATCGCAACTAATGGCACCTGCTGGGCTGAGAGGGGAAGCCGGCAGGCAGCGCAACTGCCGCGTCCTGGTTCCGCAGCTCGAGGCTACAGTCGACCAACTCCGGGGCAGTGGAGAGACACCTGGGGGCCGCTGAGAGCGTCGGGAAGGGGGGCGACGACCGCTTCTCGGGCAGTTTTGGGGTAAGTAGCCGCAGTTGCATTGAAATAAGCATCTTCTCCGCGTCATCCGCCGCACAGAATGGCAGGTCTCATTTCTACAGCCGGAAAAAACACTCGCAAGATTTACACCAGATGCTCTTCCTCTTTCACTTTGCTGTGAAACGTTTTGCGGAATTGCTTCCGTTCACTTTATGTTGTGCGCTTGTGTTTCAAGTTGCTTTCAGTGTGATTACTTTGTTTGATTTGTAAAATGTGACAAGCACCCGACATGAAGATGCTTGACTTTGTTCCGAGTGGATCATTTGGCAGATTAAAAATAGTGAATCTTCTGTTCAAATATTGTTTTTCCTTCCTCCCGTGTGGTCTCTGGTGACCAAAAATGTGGGTTGACTGGTTACCGTTACCGCACACAACTTCAGAATGGGTAGGAGTTGTTTCATTTTTGTTGGAAACTAACTTCCCCCCCCCCGCAAGAAGTTTCCTCTTCAATCAGTTATGAAGGGGGCCCGGCTCGAGAATGGAGTAAACGAATAAATGAATTATGAAGTAAGAGTCTCTAACCGAACATAGAGATCACCTCCTGACACGCAGAACTCCTCCATTTCAAAGCCTATCCTGTTTCACCTGGCAGGAAACCGGCCCCTGTGCCGGTTGGGTGACGTCGGGGACCTGTCACGCTCCACGTAGCAAACTCTACTTCCTGTAGCAGGTGGCAGCGGATCACTAAGGGTGAGGTGGATTAGCGGCGGGGGGTCCAAAGCGGAGGGGGTTGTCCGTCGCCAACAGGTGAGGGAGTGGCCGCTTGATCCGGCCGGCCAACCCGCCGCCACGTGGGTCCTGGAGGACTGTTGGCCAGAGCAGGTGGATTCAGGTGTTTATTGAGAGGCGTGGTGTGTTTGTTCGCACTCTGGCCTCCGTCAGCCCCGTGGGACTATTTCCCAAAGAGACAATGAGGAGGGTTGTGCGCAACATTTTCCGCTGCTTGACTTGGACCGACGCACAAACTGGTTAACGGAATGTTTTTCCTGTTTGTCCGCATTACTTACCTGGATGCTCAGTGAGTAAGAGCAGGTAAGGGTTACGGAGGAGTTGGTTTTGAATCCAGGGTTTCCCGTGCTTGCTTGGAACTACGAGGTGACGTGAACCATCGTTTTTGTAGTAAATGGTTTTCTCTCTTTTGACAGCTTCAAGAGCGGCGCATTCTGAAACATGCGTCTGTTCCTACGCCGACGTATATCCCCCCTGAAACTGGTGCTCCTCGGGGGGACGTTCTTCCTGGTGGTGCTGGTGGTTCTCCAGAGGGATGTTGGGTCTTCTTCTGGTGCTGGTGACCCCTGGTTTAAGGAGCTGGCGGACCAGAAGGATAAGGTGATGGTCATAGTCCGGGAGGCCGTCAACAACATTGGTTTCCAGATCGGAGCTCCGCAGGAACCGTCAGTGCAGCAGCAGCAGCCCACCGTGGACGCCAAATGCCTTCCCGGATTCTACCTCGAGTCTGAGCTCAAACCTCACCTGGAGAGACCTCCTCAGGACCCCACAGCCCCCGGGGCTGACGGGAAAGCGTTCGCCAGGGACAACATGTCCCCAGACGACGTGAAGGAGAAGGAGGAGGGAATGACGAGGCACTGTTTCAACCAGTTTGCCAGTGACCGTATCTCGCTCAGCCGGAGCCTCGGGGATGACACGAGGCCTTCAGAGTAAGGACACGTTGTCAAGATAATCTGAGGTAGTTTTGATTGTGCCGACGTGTAAACGGCGGGCCAGATAATATACCGGGTCACGCTCAGAGCAGTCAATTATTTACGTAACGCGCCTTGAGCAATTTCGTTTTCGAAAAAGCGTTTTAAGTGAGTGCTGTTTGCTCAATGTGCTGATCCGAGGGACCACACCTTGTATATCTAACAACGATCTGTCCCACGCGGCTGTCACTTTCATTTCATCAGATGTTTCCTCTCACTTTTACACACGCTTCTTTGTCTCTGTGTCCTCTGACGTGGCTGGCCGGGCTCAGATGCGTGCGGAGGACGTTTCGTCGCTGTCCTCCCCTGCCTACCACCAGCGTAATTATTGTCTTCCACAACGAGGCCTGGTCGACCCTCCTCAGGACGGTCTACAGCGTCCTGCACACGTCTCCTGCCGTGCTGCTCAAAGAGATCATCCTGGTCGATGATGCCAGCGTTTCAGGTAAAAATGTCAATGTACACTAATGACCTCACTCGCAGGAAATTATGGGTTCATGATTTCATTAGTTCATATTTCCGCTCTTGTCGGGGCAGGAAGTGAAGAGCATATTTGTAAAGCGGGTCAGTGGGTCATCCCACCTGTTGATAGCTGGGACGTAGAGGTTTCAATAAAGCTAAAGTAAACTACATATTTGAAAGAGCAGCAGAGTAAGTAGGAAGCTGCCGGTGCTCAGCAGTGTAGAAAAGCAGTCATGGCGAAAAGAAAACAGGCCTCCCAGTGTAGCACTGACATTTTATAAGCAAAAGCTGAACACTTAATGGAACACGTACTCACAGCTAACTGGGAGTGTTTCAGAGAAAAGTTAAACAGTCAAGTGAAGAAACCTTTTCAAACGGCATGACGGGGAAAGACAACAGCAAGGTTCTTCAGAAAGGTACAGGCTGGGCACAGGAGCACAACACCAGTTATAAGTGATTCATTAGCAGCTTGCAGACAGAATAACAGGCAGGTGGGCCGACACAAATTGAAATTATGTGGTGTGTTTTACTTTGCACAAGGCTGGTCACATGCTTTGCATATGAGCGCGTCAGTTATGTTACCTTCTGTAAGTACATAACCCTTCCCCTTTTTGCTGTGACGTTCTGTCATCGTTTTGGTCAGATTGATTAAAACTGAAACCTTTGCGGAAATGTGCGGTGTGCATTGTAGTAAATACTGTGATCCAGATTCACTGGTGACGTTTCCACTTCATGCTACTAATGTTAATGTTTCTTTTTCTTATCTGCGGCAGATGCTTTTATCATTTGACCTATTTCTTAGTAGTAATGCTGAAAAAAACTAGTTGCACTCCAAACTGAGTGTGAGTGCGATATGAGTGTGGCGGTAACCACATCCAACATTGTCACTGTTCTAAACAAAGACGAAAACCTGATGGTGTTTTAATTTTCCCAGATCACCTGAAGAGCAAACTGGATGAATTTGTGGTTCAGTTTAAGATTGTCCGCGTTGTGAGGCAGCGGGAGAGGAAGGGCCTCATCACTGCCAGGCTGCTGGGGGCCAGCATTGCTCAAGGCGAAATCCTCACTTTTCTCGACGCACACTGTGAGAAAACGCACACGTACACAATCACATTGGCCGAAATAGGCATTTTTTTTAAAGCAGCCATGTGTCGTTCATTGGGACAACAGCAGGAACCGGGTTGGGAGCTAATGTGTTGTTTTCCCTCTTTATTGGATTTAAATTTCACAACTTTCAAAGCATCACTTTAGCTTATAAACGTTTTGTAAGAGTGTTTTTTTAGGTTAAAAGCTTAATTAATACGTCTGTGTTCGACCAGAAAATGTACCTGTGACTAAGATCTATGATTTGACTCTGCATAAACACCTGATTCAGTTACAAACACATTATTGTGATAGTACCATGTTTAGCTATCGAGCAGCGCATCTATTTTAGACCATTTTCAAGCAGTTCAAACGTCAGTCCTAGTTGATTTTAGAATCGATTGAGTGAAATCAATGGTACATTTCTTTCGTAGATAAACAGTCTGGAGTCTTCTAATTCAGAAATGGTTCCATTTTGGACAATGAAGAAAAACTGCAATATACACACACACAGTTTGTCTGTTTTGTTACTCATATCAGTCAGGATGCATAAGTTGCTCTGAAGGTCCCTCTGTCCTTCCTCCCCGTCTAGGTGAGTGTTTCCATGGTTGGTTGGAGCCGTTGTTGGCTCGCATTGTTGAGGAACCCACTGCCGTGGTTAGTCCAGAGATCACAACCATTGACCTCAACAACTTCCAGTTCAACAAGCCCGCGGCCTCCAACCGCGCCTCCAACCGAGGTAACTTTGACTGGAGCCTGAGCTTCGGCTGGGAGGCGATCCCCGAGGACGCAAAGAGGCTGCGCAAGGATGAAACCTACCCTGTAAAGTAAGAAGGATCGTGTTGGTGTCGCTCAAACCACCCTGAATCAAACCAGTGTCTAAAGCTTTGATCTGCCTCTGAACATTTCAGAACACCCACTTTTGCCGGAGGTCTTTTCTCAATCTCAAAGACGTACTTTGAACACATTGGAACATATGACGACAAGATGGAGATCTGGGGGGGTGAAAATGTGGAGATGTCCTTCAGGGTCCGTCTCTTTGTCTGTACTTCCACACGTAGTTCCACACGTCGTCGTCAGGTTAACAGTTTGAATATCAAGCCGCATCAAATGTGATTCGCAGGTGTGGCAGTGTGGGGGTCAGCTCGAGATCATCCCTTGCTCTGTGGTGGGCCATGTCTTCCGCACCAAAAGCCCCCACACCTTCCCCAAGGGCACAGAGGTCATCACTCGCAACCAAGTCCGCCTGGCTGAGGTCTGGATGGACGACTACAAGAAGATCTACTATCGCCGCAACAATAACGCTGCAGTCATGGCCAGAGAGGTGAACTGCTAACAGCACGTGGATACGGGGACATGCGCTGCCCCTCTTTCACAACACTTTTAATTCTTGACGAGGATATTTTGTGTGTTTTTCTAACATTGCTCCTTGTGTGTAGCATAACTTTGGGGACATAACCGATCGCCTAAATCTGAGAGAGAAGCTCAAGTGCAAGAACTTCACCTGGTACTTGAACACCGTTTACCCAGAGGCCTTCATTCCAGACTTAAACCCAGAAAAGTCTGGAGCAGTAAGTCAAAGCTTACATTTGTCTCTGTTTGCGTATAATATGACGCCGCTCGTGTTACAAATCCGCTGCTGTATCTTTGTTATTTGTGTCTGCGTTTACACCAGATTAAAAATTTAGGATCTAACACCTGTCTGGACGTTGGGGAGGCAAACACTGGCGGTAAAGCTGTGATCATGTACCAGTGTCACAACATGGGCGGCAACCAGGTGCGGTCTCTAATGACTCACAAAATGTGAACTTAAGATGATTTGTTCTGTGGGACAGTTGGATCTCTGATTTGTATGATTATCTCTTCTAGTACTTTGAATACTCATCTCATAAGGAGCTGCGTCACAACATTGGAGCTCAGCTGTGTCTTCATGCCATGCCCCAGTCAGAGCCAGTGTTGGTCCACGTCTGTGAGCTGAAGGGGAAGGGCACCCGTTTGGCCCCACTACAGGAGTGGGTCTTTACGGAGGTGAGGGACATTTGAGGTGGAAGTTGAAATTACGTTTTGTATCCCATTTGTCTGCTTAATATGAGGTTGCAACTAGCTGCTGCTGAGCTTAGCATACAATCTGGGGAAAATGGGCAAACGTTGAACCTCCTGACTGTTGTTGTCGCCGTGAGGTTGCCAGGCAACAAGCCGAGACTACATGAAGACGGGCACGCAGCCAAGAAGCATTTGGATACAAAGAAGCATATTTAATGGAATGCAGAAGTGAAGCTAAGCTAACCAGCTTACGGCTGTAGCTATATAGACAGTCAAGAGGGTAGTATTTATCTTCTCTAACACGGAGAGCGAGCAAATAAGCGCATTATCCCAAAATGTTTCTTTATTAAACATAGTTTTATTAAAGGAATAGTTGAAATGTAATTTATTGGTATGTCAACATAAATTTAAGCTTCTGTTGTGATTCACCTTTTTCTATGACGCTAATCTCTAGGAAAAGCTGCTGAAGAATCCCAGTACTGGAAAATGTTTGCGGCTGGTTGGAGGCAAGCTTCAGATGGACCAATGTAATACCGGCGACCTCTACCAGCAGTGGACCTTCAGCTGACCTCCCCGTCTGCCCATTAGGTGACCTCGTGTCCCCCTTCCTCAGACTCTGGTCTCAAGAGCCATCTAGAAGGCCTCCTTGCCGTGGAGCATGGGGCATATGGCTATTCTGAGTGGCTGGTGAAATGTGGAGGACAAAGAGAAGACAGTTGGAATCTGTTGAAGACGCTCGGGTTAGCCGTGACTTGTTTTTAGATTTATTTATGATGGACAGAGACCTGTCTAAAGGTGGATGGGAATTTTGAGAAACTGAACTGTGGGGCGATGGGAGTGAACCGGAATGATACACTAAAACTCCGGTTTCTAAAATAACGTTAATGGCGTAATAATGTTTTAGTTAAATTTTTATTGTCTGACAATGAATGTTGAAACGTGATTATGAATATGTGGCGCATTGGAAATCAAGAGATGTCTGTTTTTTTTAAATAAAAATTATTTGTTCTGTCAGATAAATGAGCTTCTTCCATCACCATAAGTATCTGGAAATCAAGAGGTGGGCCTTTACGTCAGGATGTTTGCACTAGGGCAAAAATCTTAACAATTTTTTTTTGCTGGTTAATTGTTTAACAGGATAATATTCAGAGAATGATTGACTCACTGTGGTTATTGCTGATACAAATATTAACTCATTAAAATGTAGCTCTAGGTTCCCTGCCCTTGATTCACAAGTCATTTACCATGTACCGTGTGTGGAGGATTGTTTTTTGAAAGTCCTTATAGTCATTATTCTGCAACAAAGCCGTAGGATTTTCTCAGGGAGAAAAACCGGCTCTGGTTGCGAAACTTTTGTGGAGGGAGTGGTTCAGGACACATTCCTGCCAATTGTTTTCAGCCTTGTCTGAATAGACTTGAAATTGATAGGCGAGTTGCCAAACCTGATATTCCCTCCGTTTTATCTTGTTGATCCAACCTTCTGAACTAGAGAGACAAATGGAGCCAATGTTTTACACAGCATGAGGAAGTGGACACGCTAAGGCATTGTTTCTAGCCAACCATAGATGGCAGCATTAACTTGCCGAGTGTTCCTGCAAGGTGAGGGTGACCGTCGAAATGTCCCCGTGCTGTGTGTCTCATGTAGCCAGAGAGCAATGAGAGTTGCCACAGTCCGGACCGACTGAGAGCGGATGGGCCATAAAGATGAGCTCTGAGCCTTTGACCCGCGCTGAGGTTTTTGGACGGCTCAGGAGGGAGCTCTATGGAGTGGAACAGTCCAGTCATTCCAGCACGCACATATTCATCATCCTGGGAGCCTCTGTGAGTACAACCTTTCAAACAGCACCACCTGAATAACCACCGGTTCCCTCTATTCCCAAATTAACACGCATGTGCCTCGATCGCAATTCAACAAAAGATCTGTCGAAACGTTATGCTTCAAATTTTACAGTGAAAACAACAGTTTAAAAAGAGATTTTAAAGTGACAGGGGAGCAATACGATTGACACAAAGAGAATGATTCACGTTGGAATAGTGTGGTAATCAGGAAAAGTAAGCCAGTGATAGAAATGTGCTGCATCTAAACCTTTTTTTGTAAAGCATTGAAGAACAGGAAGATTATGGAGCAAAAACATTGTCAGACCCCTTTGAAATGGAGCCTGGTACAAGTTCCAAAGTCCAGATGTCTTATTTCTTTGTTTGTTCAACCCTTACTTGTCAGGTGATCTCTTTAGATTTTACCTGAAATCTCCTGCAAAAAACGGTGTGTTCTTCGTAACAGATTAACCGCCTCCACATTAATACTTATGTTCATTTTTCTGTTGATTATTTTCAGCCAAAGTGATTATCGATTTCACCATTATATCTCTTATTCTTCACTTGAATATTTTTCACAGGGGGATCTTGCTAAAAAGAAGATCTATCCAACTTTATGGTGAGTGAACTGCTTCTCAAACAGCATGTTTTTGGTCGCTCTGCCTTACGAGGACCATGTTATGCATCACTGTTTTTGACGCTCCCTTAGGTGGTTATTCAGAGATGGCCTGCTCCCAGATGACACATACTTTGTTGGTTTTGCCCGTTCTGAGCTGACCGTGGAAGATATCAAGGCAGCATGTCTGCCTCACATGAAGGTACCAGGCCTGGAGGCTGTCTGGTGCAACATCGTTGATTGTTTGGGCTGTTTTTTCTGGAAACATTGTTTTTGCATTTCCCCTCAGGTCACCGATGGCGACACTGAGTGTCTCTCAGCATTTTTCAGTAAGAACTCCTACCTGAGCGGCAAATATGACGACGACACCTCGTTCACCCAACTCGACTGCCATCTGTCGTCTCTGCCTGGGGGAGCTGACGCCCACAGACTCTTCTACCTGGCCCTGCCCGCCACCGTCTACCTGCATGTCAGCACAAACATCAGAGCTCACTGCATGAGTCGCAGGTCAGTGTCGGTTATGGGAACGCGATAGTGCACCTGCTATTAGACCACGTTATTCTGATCAGCTGTGCATGTCAAACAGAGGCTGGAGCAGGGTAATTGTGGAGAAGCCCTTTGGACGAGATCTCCAGAGCTCAGAGGAGCTGTCAGCCCACCTGTCCTCCCTGTTCACAGAGGACCAGATCTACCGCATAGACCACTACCTGGGCAAGGAGATGGTGCAGAACCTCATGGTTCTCAGGTAAACAAAAAACATTCTCAAGCACTGTTCCACTGGTAAGAAAAGAAACATTTCATAGAATACTGGAGTACTCGTTGTTTCGTTCCTCTTGTCCCTTGTTTTGGGGGTTTTATTTTATATGTGTTTTATTCTCCCACGACCAGGTTTGGAAATCGTATTTTCGGACCAATATGGAACAGGAACAGTGTGGCCTGCGTCGTCCTCACTTTCAAAGAGCATTTTGGCACTCAGGGCCGCGGAGGATACTTTGATGACTTTGGTATTATTCGGTGAGAGACAGTACATTCAGATAAAAGAGACGTTACAAGTACCATGTTTTTGTTACACCTGATCCTTTACCATGATTTCTTGTTTCTTAATGTAGAGATGTCATGCAGAATCATCTCCTCCAGATACTCTGTTTGGTCGCCATGGAGAAACCGGCTTCCACCAGCCCAGATGATGTGAGGGATGAGAAGGTAATGATTGAATGTAGTAAATAATAATTTCACTATCGTGTTCATATTATTGTATATTAAGTATCAGAGCTTCCTGTTTTTTGTGTGCTGCAGGTGAAGGTGCTGAAGTGTGTAGCTCCAGTTGTTGGGACGGATGTGGTGCTTGGCCAGTATTTGGGGGACCCTGAGGGCGAAGGCTACTCTAAGCTGGGTTACCGTGACGACCCAACCGTTCCCGAAGGCTCCTGCACGCCGACTTTTGCCACAGCCGTGCTTTATGTCCAGAATGAAAGATGGGACGGTGAGGAAAAACATTTCTTTTCTTGTCCTCACCCTCTGGTCCCCGTCATGTTTTTGCTGCACCCATCCATCATCCCATCAACCCCCTCACCCCACCTCGCCCCTTCCCCAGGCGTACCTTTCATTCTCCGCTGCGGCAAAGCTTTGAATGAACGGAAGGCAGAAGTGCGTCTGCAGTTCACTGATGTACCAGGAGACATTTTTGGGGAGCGCTGTCAGAGGAATGAGCTGGTGGTCCGTGTGCAGCCGGACGAAGCTATTTACCTGAAGATGATGACCAAAAGGCCCGGGATCTACTTCAGCCCACAGGAGACTGAGCTGGACCTCACCTACCGGAGCAGATACAAGGTGATGCTCCCAACTCAAAGCCTTTCTGTCAATCAAGTCCCAATTTTAATCATAAAATCTATTTTTGTTTATTTGCTTTTTGAGAACTTTTCCTGTGTTGTTGTTGTTCTTTGATCAAGTGAATCTCTTTGTGTCGTTATAACGTCACTCAATTCTTTATATAAGTTGGTTACACTTTAACAGTAAAATGCTGATCTCAATGCACATAATATACTGTAATGTAAATGCATATGGATATATGGTGTTATTTGATTGATATTCAATTTCTCACATTTGTATTGAAATTTGGGTGGAGGGTTAGAGATGCAAAATACTATTGTGTAATGTTGTCACATTCCATCCGGAGACTGTAAGGTGGAACCTAGGCCTCCAGCCTCTAATGCAACCACAAAGAATCAACTGCCTCGAGTTTAAAAATCAGAAAGAATTTAACAAGGTACAGGTACTTTTACAGAGTAAATAGCAAAATAGTGTATTATTTTTCCGCATTCTATCTGACTAAACAAGTATGGAAGAAGACGAAAAAAGAAGATTCTGCCTGAGACAAAGGTTTTTGCATCTGGGGGGTTGTCCATTATTTTTACAGCATTATGCGATTGGCCGCACAGCTAACAGTAGCTCCACCCCTTCGTTTATCCACGCCCAGGAATTTCATTACCTTACTCTCTGGTTCCATCTTGTGATCGAACCCGGAGCCTCTCGCTCATCAATAAGACATTCACCTTTGACCTATAGCTTGACAGTTGACACAATATGGGATATAATATATTAACACATTTATCATCTAACTTCTAACACACTCTAATCATAACATGTCTTACATCTTCACATTTCATAACCTCATAAAATAATATTGAACTCATTTTACAATATATAGTCCAAAATCAAATGGTTGCCGTGCCGAGTTTTCTTATCTGTACACCTTCGACGTCCTCTGTTTCCAAACTCGACACAGAAGAAAAAACTCCCTCGGAAACCCGTCAATGGATAAAATAAGGAAGAAATAGGATGGACATTACATCATGGATGTCACGTGTACAGTATTGAATGACTTGCAAAGTATACAATATGTTTAATGAGTATAAGTAATTATTCTACTGTCTAATATGTTTTTGTTTTGTAGAGAGGTGCAATGTTGTGGACTTATCTTGTTTCTTTTCTTCGAATTAAGAAAGATCTTGAATCAAGCAGGTATTTACACCTTATTTTCTTCATATGCCGTCTTCTTCTAGGACGTGAAGCTCCCGGACGCTTACGAGAGGCTGATTCTAGATGTTTTCTGCGGAAATCAGATGCACTTTGTTCGCAGGTGGGTAGCACCATGTGCTGTAAAAATGTATTCTAAGTATTTTGTTTTAGTGTTTTGTTTTTTAATTTGAAGTACTCTTTGTTCTGTACCAGTGATGAGCTGCGGGAGGCCTGGAGGATCCTCACCCCCCTCCTCCACCAAGTAGAGGGAGAGAGGACACGACCGATCCCTTATACATACGGAAGGTAAAACAGACAGAAATAAATATATAATACAGAAATGTCACTTCCAGTGGATCTCTTCATGCTGTCTTTCTTTTGTGCATCTACAGTCGTGGTCCAGACGAAGCAGATGACCTTATGAAGAGGGTGGGATTCCACTATGAGGGAACATACAAGTGGGTGAAGCCCCACCCAACATGATTCAAACGAATGATTCGAAAATACTAATGGATCACACAAATGTAAATCTGGAAACAACCATAACTGTACATTTTTAACTTTAAAAAATCCATCAATATTCACACATTTAATTAAATGTTTATATTCTTTTATTCAAACCTGCTCTCTGCTATCAGCAGGCCCGTGTTAACAGCCATCACAGCATAATGAAACGTAACACTACATAGGATTTACACTGGGACGTCTGGTCTGTAAGAACACATGACATGAAAGTTTACCTAAAATGTTCTGCTTCACATGAGAATGATTTTCACGTAGGTAAAATTGTATGAAAAATGTATTTAGACTAAACTTAAATCAAGTTTCTAAATGCATGTTAATCCGTAACACTGGTGCTTCCATCACAATGCATGAATGAACTTTGATTTGAACTTTGATTTACTTTTAAATCTGGTGTTTTTTCAACTGCTTGCAGCACACAATTTCTTGTGAACCATGTCAGTCTCTGTCAGGTACTTGGCCCAGCTGGTGGCCTTCTAACTACAAACACACATACCTTTGACAAATAATAGACCATCTGTTCATCCTGCCAGTACTCTGAGGGCCGTGGGAAGTGCAAAAATGTGTTTTACAACTTCTCCTCTGGAGACGATTTTATTAGTTCCCTTATGTGTTATTGTATTTGCAGTTTACTATAACATATTATGATCTTTCAGTATGGTACGTAACCCTAACCTTAAAAACAGTCAAAATCAATAGTTCCTACTGCACAATTATTTATGTTGAAGCTGTTGTTGCTTTTACCATATTTCAAATGTACACTAATTTTGTCAACAATAAAGCACAAAATGAGTCAAGTCAATTTTTTATTTGTTTATTTGTATTCATTTTTTTTCTTTCATTTCTTCTAACATTTCCCATGGTTTGATTCTGTTGAAGCTCAAGTGAAAATAAATAAAATTATGAGAATAGAAACTGCATGCATACACCACAGAAAGGTCTGTATTACAAATAAGTCAGCATTTAGCAAGTTTTAAGTAGAACAAGAAGAGTTCAACAAACACACTCATTTAACAATCTATCAATTATTGCATAAGAAAATATATAAAAGTACCTGAAATATTGGGAATTCTCTGCCCCGACAGACAAGGCTGTCTCAGTAAATTCACAAACTATCATTGCCTAACGTGTCTATTGTTGCCTTTCGCTCATCATCCAAAATTTACGTGGGCCTATTCGTATAGCGTGTATCCCCTTTCACACTTTTAATTTCCTCTGGCGCAGTTGTGCACGGCGGCTCCGTCCTCGATGCCCCTGGCGTACAGACGCACCAGCTGGCCGTGGACCCTGAGACGAGTAAACGTGGTTAAAAACGGTGCCGCTGAGGGTCATCTGTGCCACCTCGTGAATGTTATTACATCACCCTGTGACGACACAGAACAGAGCACGCGGGCAGGCGAACTCCCTCACCTGCACAGGATCTCTGTGGCCGTCAGTATCTCTCCGTCACAGTTCCACACTGACACCGCGGGAGCTTTACTGCAGCACAGGCCACACGAGAAGGGCGACGCCGCTTTCTGCTTGTTCGCCGTTTCTCGTCCCGTGCCGCACTCCGCCAGGTGCTGCTGAGATCCACTCCTGCTCACGGTCTCAATGTAGCTCCTCTCTTCTTCATCCAACCCAACACCCGACCCGCCGAACTCCTCGCATGCTCCTTCCTCTTCGTCGGGGGAGAGGGAGAAACGGACGGCCTTCACGCGGTGCACCTCCACAAACGGCAGGTCAAACTAAGAGAAGAAGGGAAACCGGGTCAAGCTGTGTTCGAACCTGCTAACGCGACTTGGTTACCCGATGGAAGTGCTCATACCTGGTCCTCTGTGCAGGTGTGTCTGTAGAGGAACTTGAGGAATCCCAGCGGGTGGGTGTCCCACACCAGGATGAGGTCGCCTGTTCCATCTGCGAGGTGAGCGGAGGGAGAGAGGCCCAAAGGACTCTTGGGACACGAGCTGGACATACAAGTGAGAGACACACACCTGAACCTGCCCTCGACCCTCACCCACTCGCCTGGAGGGACAGAGAAGAAGAGACATGATGCCACATGAAACAGAAATCCCTGCACCTGTATGAAACATGCACCTGTTTTTTGCACATTCTGCATTCCATCATGCACACTTTTCTACACTTTACTAGATTTACTCCTCAGGCGTTGCTGGAATTGTTGCTCACTGAATATGTTTGTTTTTTCTTTCTCACTGGATCTACAGGTAGTGCATGTTCCTGTGAACTGGATTGAGCGGTGTGGGAGGGATAAAGGGCGCTGGAGAATTTCAGTTCTCAAATAAAACAACCTTTAAATTGGCTTAATTTGAAATAAGGCTGCTATAAAGTGTACAGATTGTTTGCTAAATTGGCTTAAATATACACATACAGGTGTGTGTGTGTGTGTGTGTGTGTGCGTGTGATTGTGCGTGTGTGATTACCTTCTGAGTCGCTACTGAACTGTCTGAATTGGGAGCTGTACAAGGAGCCTGGATCCGAAGAGTGGGAGAAAAGCCTTTCTGTGCTTTGGGAACACACACTGCAGCTGGACATGAACACACGCAACACAAATACTTTAAATTCTGCTTGAAGGTCTGGCAAATAACAACCGTGTTACCCATTCATAAGAGCATTATAAACCTCTAGCTGACAGCCAGCGGCTTCGGGGAAAAGACTCCGGCATCGCACACACTAACAAGAGACGGGCTCACCTTTCATCTAGATCAAGTTCCTCCAGCCGTGGGTTCTACCCTCCTTGAGGTGCACCCAACACCTTTGAAATTTGAACCATTTCACTGGCGCCTTAATTAATAACGACACTTTCTCTCCTCCTCAACCAGAAAGGTTTCAGGTCTACAAGGTTAAAGTCACTCTTGTTGTTACACGACCTTGGTCCTCAGTCATACCAACAGAACCGGGAGTGAGATTAGAAACCAACAACTTTCAACAGGCCTTTTCTGGAAATTCACATTATCTTTAGGGCTTCTTTCTTTCCGTGTGCATAACTGCTGCTATCCATGAGGAGTCGCTTCTAAGGGATAAACAACTGGCAATGATGGAGAGATGCAACATGAAAACATTATCTAACACAATGAAAAGTGGGGTCAATTCATGAATAAAGGAAAAGAGAACAGAAAAAAGCATGCACAAAGAAAACACTACACTTGACAAATAACCGTATGGAAATAGATAACACTCCCACGTTCCCAGATTGTGGTTGTTGTGAAGGATTTAGGTGCTTCACATCACTCGAGTACAATCTGTTGGACACATTTTCATTTTCTTGGTTTTCCTTTCGTCAGAGTTAGTATTGTGTTTATTATTTTTAGTCGGTGTTTTACCCTGAGAGGCAGCGTGTTTTATCTCTGGGGCTGGAGAGCAGCGGGTCTGCTGGTAGGTACTGAACGACGCCTGCATAGCTTCTGTTGCTCAGGTACACCATTGTGCCTGGACGGAGGAGAGAAAATGGGTTTGCAAAAAAGGCCCCGATGTGTACACAACACGTATGAAGAACATATACAGGGAATGTTTTTTATTTTTTTATTTTTAGTCACATGAAGTGCTTTTCATCTTCGTCTTTAAGCTGAAAATAAATGGAGAATAAAACGAAGCCTTAGCGGTCCTTTCTGTTGCTCTAATAACATTTTGAATCCGCACCTGAATAGTCGTATCGGACCGGTCCCATCCAGCGGTGTTTTTCGCTCTCAGCCAGTACGTCCCCGTAGAAGCCGTAACCCAACAGAGACACGGAGTAGCGCACCAGAGCAGACGCATGATGCACCGAACAGACGTCCAAAGGCTGAGAGTCTCCTGCAAAGGACACGCAAGCTTAACCACGGAGCAGCCAGTCGATTTTTTGAGAATTGGATTTTGTGTGTGCGAAACATTCTGATTAAAATCCTCACCGATAATGATGTGCAAAGCGGAAGTAACGGGGTCGATCACTCCGACTGTGGCGTAACACACGCAGTCTGTGGAGCCTACGTTAGACACAGCAGATCAGAGAGAAGAGGGTGAGTGTGCCGCCGCTCGACCGTCTGCTCATTAACTCCTAATACCAGCGTCCTTACCCGCAGGGATGATGCCAATGTGGAGCGGACAAGGCTGCAAAGTGACAGTTGGGTCGTTCTCACAAAGGCCTGCCTCTTGTTGCGTCCGGCCAATCAAACCGTGGAGTATTTCGCTGAACATGCCATCCCCACCCACACACACCACACTGGTATAAACAAACACAAGGGTTCAGTTGTGAGAGCACCTCCCACAGAGCTTAGCCCTCACAAAGCTCTCATACCACAGTGATTACATAGTGGCTCTTACCCGTCAAAGCCTGTCAGGTCTTTCTTCAGGAGGTGGTCTCTGGCCTGGTTGGCCCGCTCAGTCACTGAAAAAAGAAATGTTATAATGACCGGTGCCTTTTATTCATCCTGTCTTAAATGAAGTTAAGGCTGACTATGAGACAAGTTGTGGTTCTTTACCTACTACATGAGAGCTGATACCAGCTAGCTCAAACAGAGGGGCCACCAGTGAATGGTAGATCTTTCTTCCTTTCTTCTTCCCTCCAAATGGGTTGATAAATACCAATAGCCGGTTTGGACGCACTGGACCTGAGACATACATTTGGAATATTACAGATTGTTGAGAGCCAGTGGAAAACTTTGACGAATACCGGTCCATACTGTGAGTTTTTAGAGCCGTTCTTAGATGTTTTGTCCACTGGTCCCTAAGCACCCGGCTGAGGCAGCTGAACTGGGTCCGGCCCAGTCTCCATAGTAACCCACTAGAGTTCCCACTGCTGCTACGCTTCACGTAGAAAACTGGAGGCAAACGAGAGATGAGGGGAAACAAAACCACAGTGTGAGATCACTCCATCAGCCACACATCCGACTGAACCACAACGCCAGTATTCTGTGCACTGGCGTTTCGGCGTCGACTGTGGACTCGGTATTTGGGACACCGGAGTCTCGCGAATGAACTGACCTGTGAAGTCTTTGTCCGTGTCCTCGATAGACTTGTGGGGCAGGATCTCCACGCGGCCCTCCTCCACCCCAAACACCTCCGCCACGGGCACCGAAACTGTTATCACAGAGACAGATACACACAGCATTAAACTGCATTGAATACAATGTATTGTGTATAATATTCACGCAGTCAATATCCACGTTGTGTCACGCGGCGTTAGAAAAAGCACAGTTGTCCCTGACAAAACGAATGGTGACTGTTTCCCATCAAGCGGATTCAGTTTAAGAGTTCTGATGTTATCCATGCTGCTTCATCTAAAGAGCTGCGCCATTATCGATTCTGTTAATTACACCTGATAATGATCGGGATAGCAGGTACATGTCAAACATCACTGGGTCTTCTTTGGGACAACATTGCATGACAGTGTCTAAAAAAAACAATGTTACCAAAGCATCCGTTTTTAAATAAAAGGTATGTCGTGGTGTTAGTAGTAAACACACATAACGTGTGATTGTTATTTAATGCAGGATGATGTGCAGGATCAATGACTTCAGGGTGAATTTCTGCTATTGCTGCACTGTGCACGTGACCTGACGTGAAGGCGTTTTCCTGCAGGTGGGCGGGGCCCCTCGACGCGCGCCTCCATCAGCTGGTCGCGTTCACGTAAGTGCAGTTTAACTCGTCCTTCTCGTTTTCTGTTGACAATTATTGCCCTAATGAAGCCGGCCTGTAATTCTCCCAGATTATACGCTGTCACGCATGTTTTGTTCACGGCGTTTGCGAGGCGACTCACGCACGCGTTTTTTTGTTTCGTCATCATCCAGTTATGCCGGTTCCGTGACCTGTTGTGGCTTTTAACGAGTGTTGATGTGGGCCTATTATAACCCTCCCCACCTCCCCCCTCAGGAGCGTGCGCGTAAATGTCATCCTTAAACATACACGACCACGGGACTTTTGGAGACTGAAGAGTCACCTACTTGTTGTCTTGTCGCGGTTCGTCTTATCGACCTCGGTCCAGTTGAAGTGCCAGCCCGTCAGGACCGCGCGGTATCTTTTACTCCCGACCCACACACTGGACTCCAGCCGCGGATCCGTCTCCTCCATCGGAGAAAAGCGTCCCTCCCCTCTTTCTCTCGCTCTCTCTCTTCCTCCCTTCCTCCAGTTCCACAGAGAAAACTTTCACAGTCGCATTTCACAGGCGTAACTTTTGCATCTCCTTGTAAATACGCGCAAGGTCGACCGACTCGATGTCTAAATCGGGATTCCCTTAAATGTTCCTCTGGACGGATCCGACGGTGCCTCTCTTGAAAGATCTCCCTCTCTTCAGGCCATGGCTCCCTGTGAGAAACGTTGACGACGCCGCCTGCACCTCGGCCGGTATCTGCTCCTGTTCGTTTCCTCCCCGGTGACACCTGCTTCATTTGCATGTCGCACCGCCAGCGCGTGCACGCTGCTGAAGCACGAGCCTCACCTGTCGGCCCCGGTGAGGGCTCCTTATAGAATTAAGTCATTTCATGAGGCAAAAGTCATTTTTTAGGGGTGAAAAGAGGGAATCTGGTTAAGGCAACTAAAATGCAATACCAGGAAATGTCCGGATTCATAGGCTAGATGTTATGTAAAGTGAGATTATACGTTCATTTGTAAAAATTCAAAAAGTAACTTGTTATAAAGGTGCACACTTGACATTTAATTGGGAAATGATATAGGACAGGAAAAAATAAACCCTGTAGGACAACCTGTCACTCAATAAAGTGTATCTTAATTTAAAGTTGCACAGTACCTGAAAAGGAATTTCAAAATGATATGTAGGACTTAAATTCCTCCAATGGGGTTTTCATTTTCTATAAAGCTTTATTTCGGAATAGTACAGTGTATTTTAAATGTGTCAGCATTATTTATTTTGAAACTCCTCCTTGTGTAAAAAGGAATCAACGTCTATTTGAATAGTTTTGCACATTTCCATGTAATTTGTTAAGACACAACATATAGTAGAATTTATTTGAACGCTCATAAGGAAATCCACACCAGGGCGTGCAGGTTTTTGTAGTTTACGTGGGCCCATTTGCTAAAAACATACAGGGTTTGGATGTATCGATCTAAATTCATTGTCATTTAATAATCAGCATTCAGAGACCTAAAAAAGACGTATTAGAATACGATAAATATTGTTCCCCAACACTTTGTGACTGGATTTATGACTTGTACAAGTCTGTTTCTAAATCGAAGAAAATACCTGTTTTATCAATTTTGGGTTAGGTCGACATTATTTGGTGACTCAAAACAATTGACCCCTATTGACCTCTACCCCTAGACCCTGAACCTCTTCACGTTTCCTTTAATTATATTACGGGCACTATTATTTTAGGCCTAGAGACTACTTTATGTTAAAAGAAAAAAAGTAAATTAAAAACACAAGATTCCAGGACCAGGGAATACAATAATAGTTTACAATTAAGTTCATATTGTACTGATGGTGCACTTACGTCAAGTGAACCACTATAATACATATTGTAATAACCGGGTTCTTATCAAAGTTTTCAAAACAAAAGTGATTCAAGTCACGTTTTTTGTGCCTCACGCAAACGATCCAACTTTTACTGTGAAGGCGAAGCGCACAATGGCACCGGAAATGCATGACCTTATTGTGGCACGCTTATTGCTCCTCTCCCCTCCCTTCCTTGCTAAGCAAGTCAAGTTAGCTAGCTAGTTAGCGAGACCAGCTCTTTAAATCCCTTGTAGTTATATGATTATGAATTGATTGATCCGCGATAACTTTGTTTATTTTATTTCTGTCTCCACAGTCCAGTTAACAAGCCAACTAACAAAATGAACATACGAAATGCAAGGGTAAGAATCCTGAAATCCTCCCAACAGCCATGCTGTTTCTACTCACCGCTAGCTTAGCTAGCATCGTTATTACAGCCGGCTGGCGAGCTGTCCGCATATTGCCGGCTAAGCATTATGTCATTTATCTGACTTTTCTTTTCTCAGCCGGAGGACCTCATGAATATGCAGCATTGCAACCTGCTGTGTCTTCCGGAAAATTACCAAATGAAATACTACTTCTATCACGGGTTGTCCTGGCCTCAGGTGATTCACCGTGCAGTTTTCCTTTTACCCGGTTTCAGCTAATATCACCGCTCATATTATCTCAATCCTAACGATGGATCTTCTCTATTATCGATTCAGCTCTCCTACATTGCAGAGGACGAAAATGGAAAAATTGTTGGATATGTGCTGGCAAAGATGTGAGTCTTTAGATGTGTGACTATATATTATTATTATTATTATTATTATTATTATTATTATTGCACACCGGTTACTCAGGCGAGATGTTTTATGTGTTCCGCCCTGCAGGGAGGAGGACCCTGATGACGTACCCCATGGACACATCACATCCCTGGTGAGTCCCATTCATCTCCAAACGTCTCCCATCCATGTGTTGCACGTTTTGTGGCGCTGAGATGTTTAGCTGGCTTCTCCAGTGCTTCATAAACCTCTGTGCACCTCCATCTGTCCGACAGGCGGTGAAGCGCTCCCACAGGCGTCTTGGTCTGGCTCAGAAGCTGATGGATCAGGCCAGCCGGGCCATGATCGAAAACTTCAGCGCTAAATATGTCTCGCTTCATGTTCGCAAAAGGTAAAGTTACACCTCTTTGTTCACTCTGGCCTCGGTTTTTATCTGCTCTTTTTGGATACGTTAATGTGTGGGTCACCGTGTGAGTAACCCTGTTCTTTCCCGATGTTTTCCCCTCCAGCAACCGCGCAGCCTTGCACCTGTACTCCAACACGCTCAAGTTCCAGTAAGTGCATTTCTATGGCAGCATTTGTTTACTGTTTTAATTGTTGCCTCGTGGTATTGTTGCAAAAGTAAAAAAACACTGCAGTCGTAGGTAGAGCTGGCCAATAAATCCGTATTAGCTTATCAGGCCATGAGAATGTGTGATCGTGGTTGTTTTTTTTCTTTTAAAATGATAAATAAAAGGCGTTTGGCTCAATGCACCCTTTTGCTTTCTTTTTGAATAGATCTTAATTTTGCAGCCGCCAGCACCACCGACTCTGCAGTACACAGTGCGAAAAAGATTTTCCTTTCCTCAATCACGTTGTCATGATCTAAACTTTAGTTCGCAAAATAACGTTTTAAATACTCAATAATTCCAGAAATTACAATTCTATTGGGGCTTAATTAATAATGTATTTTTATTAAAACAATTTGAAACATTGGACCGTGTTCGCTCCTGAGCCCAGGCTACATGTATCTATTCTGACTACAACCAATATGCTGCTGTTCTTCCTCAGGATCAGTGAGATAGAACCCAAATACTACGCGGATGGGGAGGATGCGTACGCCATGAAGAGAGACCTGGCCCACATGGCTGATGAAGTGAGCGCTGTTTCTACAGCTTCTTGTAAAATCGGCACCGCGAGCAGATTGTAACCGTGCGCGTGTTTGTGTCTATATGTCCCCAAGGTGAAAAAGCCGGGAGTGCGCCTGTCGGGTCAGGAGGCTGCGTCGGGCCAGAACCCGTCGGGATCCGGCGACCAGGAGAGGGAGAACGAGCGAGACAGCGGAGGAGAGAGCAAAGAGCTGAGTGAAGTCAGCGAGGCGACAGAAAGCACAGACGTTAAAGATTCTTCTTCTGATTCACAATGACGCTGCAGTCCTAGACATTTTTAAATTCATCCCATGCTTCCTCTTTTTATCCCTATTTGACAATACATCTGCTTTACAGACTATCTGTGCGTCAAAACACGTCCCACATCAGTTTTTTTTCTTGAAGCTTGCAGTGATGAACAAAAGGTCTCGGATAATGACTTGAATCAGGGTGTTTATGAATAACGTTAATGAATAACTGATCTCAATGTTTTTATCGGACTGTTGTTGTCATTACACAGAGTTGCAAAGAGTTCTGTGAGATTTAGAGAATTTAAAACAATTTGTGCTTTTCAAGTTGTCTCAATCTGGTTGCAGAATTGCTGCAAATAAATCTTTCAAATAACATTTTTGGTACCACTTATTTCAATAAGCGATCATGTACTGTAAAGGTTTCCATTGGTAGTCAAAAAGACACGTGTGACACTAATTCAACTTTGATGACTCCTGCTGGCGGCATCAGACAGTGATTCCACACATGTTGGTGTGTTTTTCAACCAGATTACGAAACATTCGGTTAACGTTAACAATTCTTACAAAGATCCTTGGCAAGTCTTGGTAATGAAACTACGGTTTGGCTTAAGATTGCTACAAAAATAAACAAAACTAACAAAAATGATCGATTGCTGAAGTCAGCAATGTTGTTGCATTTTCCTAAAAACAAAGCATGTTATTATGATAACTGATGTGTTGGATATTAATAGCCAGCCATACTTGAGTCTGAGAGACCTAAACCTTTACAGCTGAGCTGAACGGACGCTGAGAAAACTTAACTGGTGTTTCCTCGGACTTGAGTGTTAAGTGTTAAAGTGAACAGTAGCACAATCAAACAGTCTAGTAGATAAGCTCTATAAACTTCCTCACATCAAACCGTGGCGCACTCTCCATATATGTCAGTGAAGCTGTTTTTAAGCATCATACTGCGTTAAGAGGAAGGAAACCGGTGTGACCGAGAAGTACATGCGAGGTAACATTTCATTATGCACAAATACCCAATCTGTATAAAAATGTTAAGTTAACGTTCAATTAACTTATTTTGTATACGGCCACATAACAAATTAGCATGAGACAGCGTTGCAATCTGTACACGAGTACAGTCAATGCTGCTGCTGATCAAAATAAGTCTGAATAATTCAGTTATCATTTATTGGTATCAATGGGTGTTTTTTACCAGCAGAGCACGCTTTTAGCTTTTTTACTTGACATGAGGTGTTTCCACAATTAGCCTGCTCACCATACACATCTCATCATAATCTTTGGTCATAGTCTTGACCTAAGTTTACCCCGAGGTCTTCAAGAGCGTTTTGGTTTCCCCTCCCAACTGAACACTAAAGCAGCTGATTTCGTGAAGTGACAACAGCTGATGTTTGATTGGACTCAAAAGCCTCTTTGGAGCTTCAGAGGCAGCGGGAGGGAGACTAGAAAAGTTTTCGCTTGCACAATTAAAATTGTCACTTGCATAATGACTCCCCAAAGTAAGAAGTGTGAATGCGATGACTGTTGCGAAAGAGTTTTGTGTGTCTCTCTCTCTCTCTGTGTGTGTGTGTGTGTGTGTGTGTGTGTGTGAGAGAGCAAGAGAGAGAGAAAGAGAAAGAGATGAGTTGAGTTCCACTCCACCCATCCGTGTCCAATGTGAGGGGGAGGTGAAACAGTTGAGCGCTTACTGTGCTGTCAACTGGCATTATTTTTCGTCGTCTCGGTCCGGGGAAAGCGACTCGTGTGCGACGGCTCTCCACCAGGTATGACGTTATATGTATAAATTAAACTTTTATCAATTTATGTTCGTGGATCCGTTTCTGAAGCAGACTGTTGGCTAGCTTAGTGTTGATAAACACATTTTTGCACAGCGGAGTGAGCACTGTTATTAGGCATGGCCCTCAGGCCCAAACGATGTGTTTGAACTTGTGAGTGGAACACAATGAAGAGAATAGAAAGGGAAGAACCAGATTCTGTAAAGTTGAGCATATCTTTCATGAACCGTTCCAGCAGTTTGTGACGACGGGAGGTGTTGGTACGCTGCTGATCACACACTGAAAGAATGAAAAGGACTAATGGAAACGAGTGATATGGTGGGAGAAATGAGTCAAGGAGTTTTGTGTTTGCTTTAACAAACTGATTTTATGAGGTCAGCTGACAAATGTCTCAGACGGAAAGGAGTAGAGAACATAGTTCGGCTAAAGCGAATGCTGATGAGTGACGTTTGACTTTTAGAAAAACAAAAAAAGGGAAGTTAAAGGGGGTAGGAAAAGAAAGTGTGATGACTGTACAAGGAGCAAAAACAGCTCTTTCTTCCCCTTTTGGTTATGTATTAAATGTCCTGATAAATGCTATCTGTCATCAGACTAGTTGGTTTGTTCTCAATCCTTAAATGATCAAGTGCTTAAATGAATGCTTGATTCTGGCATATCATATTATTGCAAAAATGAAAATAAGTTTCTGCAATGCATGTTTTCCAGTAAAGGATCATTTTTTTAATCTTTAGAGGCGGCATACATTCTCAGCCGTATAAACAAACCCCAATGTTTAACCGTTTTAAGATAATTCGAAACAAGTTCAGGACTCCACATTACTAAACTTGCATATCATTAGTAAAGACTTTTTGCTTCTTGTGGTTCAATCCTATTTTTAGGGCAGCTGAGATGTTGCTGCAGCTATTTTTGCACCTCATGCAATTCTGCAGTGTGAGCGGTGCAGCAGGCGGCACTTTCCAATTGGGTTTTCTAGTTTCGTGCAGTTCTGTAGAGCATTAAACAGTAAAGAGATGTCTTAAGTAAGGTGAACATGCTCTCTTCTCTTTTCAGCAGGAAGTTTGCATGGTCTGTTTAGGGTGAAGGTGTTTCAACACTTTGCAGCGTGACAGTTTGTAGAGTAGCATGCTCAGGCCTTGATTCTTAAGTGCAGAACATCACAATAGTTTGCATGCACTCAAAGAATGCTATGACTATTTTTTTTTATCCAGAGTTCAACCCAGTTGGAGCAACAATGACTTCCCATGTAAAACTGCGAAAGGAGAAGACTGGTATGGTGGACTACGACACTCAAATCAAAGGTGAAATAATCACTTAGCTTAATTCAGTTTCTCGCCCAAAATTTCAGAATGCGTTCCATTCTCTCGCATGCGTTTCTTTTATCTTTGCCTCGTCCGTTGTCCTCACGCCCTCCTGTTTCACGTTCCCCTCAGAGGTGCGTTGCCAGCTTGTAGACCAGCTGAAGGTCTTGGATTTGCAACTTGAGCAGAAGAGCCAGCAGCTGCAGGACCTGACGGACTACCTGCGTCGTCGGGGGGAAATTGAAAGCGAGTACGCCCGCTCCCTTGAAAAACTCTCTGAACGGTTCACTTCCAGGATCAAAAGGTAAGGATCAATCCTTGGCGCACAACGTAACACACCTCAGTTGGTGCCTCAATTTGAGGCAAGTCCTGTACCTTTCCTCCCTGCTCAGGAAGGAGCCCAGCAGTCACTCCGTGTCCCAAGTGTGGCTGGCTCTGCTTTCCCAGACCCGCCAAGAAAGTAAAGGCCACAGCGCAATGAGCGAGCACTGCAGCAACTTCCTCCTCCAGCCCCTCACGCACTGCCTGGAGTACACACAGCGCCTTGCCAAGAAGGTACTGGTAGAAGCACTGGCACCACCAAACACATTGGTTTGCTATCTCCTGCAATCTTTCTGACTCTCCCCGTTGTATTTCTGTTGAACACTTGACATTGACGCATCTCTCTGCTGTATTTTGTCTCTTCACCAGAGCAAAGACATCTGTACTCAGCTGCAAGATGGACTACTCAAGGTTACCACAGAGCTTCAGACTGTAAGTGAGAACCGATCACACAAAACCTTTTTGATTCCTGAGCCAATCAAGGAAAGCATAGCTGTGTGTGTGTGTGTGTGTGTGTGTGTGTGTGCGTGCAGGCATGGCGGACATACTTCCAGTACCACTCGGACTACATTTGTGCAGAGGGGAAGCTGAAGGAGGCCGAGAAACAGGAAGAAAAACAAAAGCAGAGTGCTTCTAAGAAGCTGGAGAGGTTGATAGAAAAAGTAAAACCCCTTTGTGCGGTATTGTGTGCGCATACATGTCTATACAAGTCCGTCATCTCCCTATTGATGATTTGTTTGTGTCCCATAGAGACAAGGCAAAGTCCAGGAGATCGACTTGAAGTGCACCAAGGCACGAAACGATTACCTCCTAAACTTGGCTGCAGCCAATGCCTCTGTGAACAAGTACTACCTCCAAGACATCTCTACTCTCATAGATGTAAGTGCGTGATCTGTTTTTGTCCTTCCCCTTTTGTCAAAAATGCTGACTCTCACCATGCAGCATTCGGCCAATAATAACTTTCTAAACATAGTACGAGTTAACGCTGGTCACGTTTAAGGACCCTGATTGCCAAGCGCCTAAACAACTGTAAATCTAAAGTTTGAATTGAATCGTTTTTCTCCCAGTGTGCAGATGTGGGATACCACCTCACTGTGGGTCGGGTGATGCAAGCTTACCTGTCCGGTCGGGGGCGTACCCAGGAGAACCTGACCACGGGGCTGCAGCAGGTCCAAGAAACCGTCTCCGGACTGGACCAGAGCCACGACAGAGACACGCTGCTGCAGGACCATTACAACACCTTCTGCATGCCCCTTCGCTTCCCCTACCAGCCCCATGATGGAGACCAGGTCTGTATTGTGGTTTCGCTGCATCAAGGGGACATTCCAGCTGTTCAACGCTAAACTGTTGCGTGTCATTCAAGGTCTCCGAGGTGAGTGCAGAGGGTGAAGTGAGATGCGAGCTGGAAATCCGGTTCAAACAGATACAAACAAGGCTTAAAGCTGTGACTCCGGAAACCGAGGAGGTATTTTGCATCCTGTGAATCCAAGCACATCTGTGTCACCTTTCTTAAGTGGGTCTAGTGGATCCCCCCCAGTGTTAAAAGAAAAAAAGTCTGAGCATGACTAACTGTGTGCGTTATCTCTTCTCCTCCTCTCATACAGGCTGGTAGCAGCAGGCTGGCGGCACAGGCTTCCCTGCTGGAGAGCATTGGAGATGATGATCTGGATCTTGCCAATGGCTCATCTCAGCAGGACAGCACTCCCAGTGGGCCCCGCCGCAGGGCCAACGCACAGGAAATAGAAAACGTCTACTTATCTGTAAGTGTGTGTATGTATGTAAGAATATATATATATATATATATATTATATATATAATTTTATTTTTTTTAATATTTTTTTAGTTATGAAACAGGACGTTTTAAAAATGCAGCCACCTTATTTATCTTCTATTGTCGGGGTGACTAACCTTACGAAATGGTGGTGCCAGCATAATAATAAAAGTATCTTATTTGACAGAAAGTAAAAGAACACCTCCAACTCGGCTCCCTGGAATCTAAACTGCAAGTCAAACATGACCTGCTCAAAGTGGCTTTAGAGAAAGGTATAACTCCAGCATTTCACACACAACAATGTCCGATAATACAGCTGGTGCATTTCTTCTTACTGGTCGCTTCTTTTTTCTCCTGCTGGCAGAGCCATCAAATGGACAGCAGCCTAGGTACAGATATGCATGTTTTAAAGAGTCTTCTAAGAGTCATTGTTTACAACAAAACCAAGAATAACACTGTACATATTATAACCAAATTCAGCTTAGACTTATGTCCTCTGGTTCTGCAGACACAATGGAAAGATGACGCGTCTCAGGAAGAATCTCTCATGTGCTAATTTGATTCACAACCACAAACTTTTCGGCGGAGACATGCTGTCTTTCATACAGGTCAGCCTTTCTCACAAAATATTATGCCTTTTTTTTGCCAGCACATCAGTTATGAGTGAAGTAATGGACTGAAAGTTTATGAAATGAATCCCAATTTGCTCCATTCAGGCATCAGGACAACAGATTCCAATTGTTGTGGAAAGTTGTGTCTGTTATATCAACCTTAACGGTACGTTTTTTAAGACTAAAGGAACTGTAAAATGGGATATATAATTTGTCCACTCTTCTACAAACAAGATGTTTTCTGAGGAATTATCTCTCGCCATCAGGTCTCCACCATGAAGGGATATTTAGAGTGCCGGGATCTCAGGCGGAGGTCAACCACCTTCGTGATGCATTTGAGCGAGGTGTGGTGTGTGTGTGTGTGTTTGCATGAGCAGCATGTCTCTCTCTCTCTCTCTGTGGAGCATCAATAACGTGGGGCAGTGTGCTGTGGGTTCGTCCTGCAGGAGAGGACCCCCTGGCTGACCGGAGATATGAACTGGACTCCGTTGCTGGAGTGCTGAAGCTTTACTTCAGAGGTCTGGAGAATCCCCTGTTCCCCATCGACAGCACCGGCCTACTCTTGGAGCATATCCGTGAGTGTGTGTGTGTGTGTGTGTGTGTTCAAACCTCCGGTGAGTGTGGTCAAGAACAAAGCAGGAGCTTATCTTTCTTTCATACTCTTTTCTTAGAAATCAAGAACGCGGAAGAGCGAGCAGCTCAGCTAAAACTAGTCATCTCTTCCTACCTCCATCCCGTCATCGTCGTCATGAGATACCTTTTTGCATTCCTTCACCAGTGAGTATTTTTCATAGAAGATAAAGTATGAATAATAATGAATGAATGAATGGGTTTTTTTTGTGACTCAACTTACAATCTTTCAAACTGCTGTCTCCCTCAGTTTATTATCGTATGCGTGCGTCTCTGCTCCCTGCCTCTAGTGTGTCTCAGTACAGTGACGAGAATATGATGCAGCCTTACAACCTGGCTGTGTGTTTCGGCCCCAGCCTGCTAAGAGGGGCTCACGACGACGATGCCGTCACTCTACAGCCTCAGATAAACGCCCTGGTGAAGAGCATCATCGTCCAGCACGAAAGCATCTTCCCCAGCCAGAGCGAAGTGCAGGGGCCGGTGTATGAGAAATGCATGACACTGGAACAGGACGACTGGTGAGGGGAAGGATTGTTTATACCTGTGACGTTAATACAAATGCATGGTGGAATCTTAATGTCGGGATGTTCTTCTTCACAGTGAGACCATCCTTGAAGAAGGAGATGTAGAAGCAGAGTTCAAAGATGGTAGGTTTTACATGCCCATCATCTCTACGGCTGTGGTGGTGTTCCTGGATAAAATAACATGATGCCATCCACCGTAGCGTTGGAAACGGGAACGTCAGCCGTCAACGGCGCCGGCTCGTCTGCGGCATCAACACAGAAGAAGACGGAACGCCCTCGAGCCAACAGCAGCGGATCCGTCGACGCCAGCAGGTTGACGGGCGGACCAGTCGGCTTCAGCGTCGCTTCAAGCGGAAAGCCAACGCTCCAGATTCCCGTTGGACCGCAGTGCAGGTCACGAGGCCACTCTGCTGGCTATTTGCGCAGAGAGTGAGTAGCACTGGACGTTGAGGGATTGCACCGGACTTGTTCTGTTTGAGTGAGGAATAAACATTCTATGTCTTCTGGTCCCTTCCTCTCCATCCAGGGTTCAGGGACACTCGTCTCCTGAGGATATTGTCGTTAAAGTAGACAAGGTCTGTCTTGTTTTTGTCATTTCAAATTACTCGTTTCAACATGATTTTATAGTAATTACTTGACATTAATAAAAATATATTTGTTCGTGAAGTAGTTTTGTATGTAATCTACAACTTGTTAAACCAATCATTGTAAACATAACCGCAAACCAGTCCGTATTTATAAATGTTGTAATCTCAAATTGCAATGAATGGACTTCAATGGATGTTATGCAGCACAGATGTGAGACATATTAAGAACTTGCCTGTAACTGATCTATAGAGCATCAGACAATTATTTATTTATAAAATGATTAGTTATCGGCAATACCATTTTTATAAAGTGTCTTGTTAGAAAGCAGCAGCAAATCGCCAATGGTTTAATGTCAATGGTATGTTGTGGTTTACATGCACACTTAACGTGATGAAGGGAGAACCGAGAACAAAGACTTCGGTCTTCTTCATCTCCCTGTTCATTTCATCTCACAGGAGGTTTGTCGCCAGATGGACTCTGTCTTCGTTGAGCTTCTTTCACGGCAAGCACTGCAGGATCCCTCCTCCTCCGCCGCCTCCTCTCCCTCTGCCCAGGGTTCCCAGAAGAAAGGGAAGCGGGACGGCTGCAGGTGAAGAGATACGGGGCTCTTCAGAGCAGCAGATTCACTGGAATGAGAGGACTGGCAGCAGTAGATGAATGTAAAAGAGTGATAATACAATATTCCAATTCTCTGGAGGTGTCCTGACAGCAGCTTTCAGCACATTTCTGTATAGCAAACTAAAAGCATTGACTCAGTCACTTCTCTGAGATGCTTGAGATGGGTCTGGGCTTCTTTCCACTGGGTGACTCCGCGCACACAACTCTACATTCACGTTCCTTACAGTGCGACTCTGCAGTTGCCTGTAGTAAAGTGTAGATTTCTTGAAATGCACAGATGTGTCTGTGTACAGCTGCATGTGGTTAGGTAGTAGATGGTTTCATGTCTGTGTCTTTTTACATTCAATTGTTATCACTTTCAATCAGATGTGTTTACGAACATGAGGCTTGCCTCGTTGGTGAAACTGAATACTCTAGCTGTAAAGAGTAAATATTATTTGTAACTTGCAAAACTGTGAATGATTTGTCCTCCTATCCTTCGTGTCTAATTAATATTTTGTCTGCGCTTTCTTGTTGGTGATATCAGTAGTGATATTTTTGAGGAGTTATTAAATAAATTTTACTCTAACCCTTGATTATTTTTACTGAAAGTAAAAGAAGTAGAGGCTATTTTAGCATAAGCCGTTTGGCGGTAACAGATGAATGAAACAAGTCAAACCACAGATTGTATCACAAACATAACTAAATGTGACAGTGAGAAAAGAAAAACCATAAAATGTTTTTCACAACATTTTGACTTGTAAAATTGCTCCCCAAGTACACCAAGAATAGTGTACATACACTGCATTCTCACGCTTACCAAAATATTTGTACTGCTTTGTCATCCAAAAATTTCCAAACGAGTCATTACTTGACGAATGTCTTACTGTCAGTGCTACAGTATATTATCATACATAATTATGATAATTATTACTATTTTTTTACTTTGTTAAACAAAATTACATAATAGAGATTTGGAGTAAGGGGTTAATAGAGTAAAAGCAAAAGAGTCGTGTGTCACAGTATGTCACACTAAACTGGAAGCATTCTCGTACGTTGCTCAATGTCTAAAAAACGAATTGTGTTATGAATAAACAATTCTTGCCAATGTATTGGTCGGCTCTCCCTCGTTTTTTGAATGAATCCAACACATTTTCTCATAATGATGTAGAGGTCTTTCGAATATTTGTTAAAGTAAGCTGAATGGAAAAATAGTATTCACTGCAGAAGCGCAACATTTGTTTATAAATGTAGTTTTCTATAAAATAAATAGTTGTCTTGTTTTTATCTACGAACTTAAATATACATTCAGAAACTTGAGCAAACTTTCTTTCTGTTTTAAGGTTTGACGGTGGATGCACGTTTTTCACTCTGATGACGTGTCGAACACAGTCATTTCCCAGACTGCTTTGCAGCTTCAAAGCCCACGTCACCGCTGCGCAGCCGCAGAGGCGTCGTGTCAGTAAGCTGAGGTGGACTTCTTCCCTTTAGTCAGCGGCAGAGACTCAGCGCAGACCCGCAATTGGACCTCAGGAACAAGACGAAACGTACCCAGCCGGCCTCTCAGACACCAGGATGATCCGTATTGCCGCTTTCCTCGCCCTGCTGGTGGCCGCCTGCTCCGGTGAGTCCGGGACCGGCGGAAGAGTATTTGCCGTGGTTGATTAGCCTTGAATGCTAGCGAGCGTTAGCTAGTTAGCCGGTTTATCAAATCACCTCCATTCGTCTTATTAATTGGGTGGAACGTGGATATCGGATACGTTGGCGTTGAGAGGTTAATGCTGTCCCGATGTTTCTACTGGTGAAACGTTACGGGACTTCAGCTAACCTCCCCGTTCGTCCTGCGCTTTGTGTTGACAGGAGAGACCTGCACCGACCCAGCGATCACCCCGTCGGCCTACACCACGTCCGACGCCGTTATCTCCTCCGAGTCGGTCTTCATCGTGGAGCTCAGCCTCGCCTGTGCCAACGGAGCGCAGGTACCTCCCCCATCCTCACCCTCTCACCCCCCTCCCCCCATCTAACGAGCATTGGGATCAGATATCGATGTTGTTACTGAAGGTCATTTCCAACTTCTCCAGAGCGTGACTCTGTACGCTGATGTCAATGGGAGGCAGTTCCCTGTGACCAGAGGCCAGGATGTTGGCAAGTACCAGGTATGGTCGTGACCTCGTGTTCGCGTGTATTTGCTCTCGCTGTATCTGATTTGGTAGAGAATGACAGGGATCAGCGGGGTACCACGCGTTTAGCGTGACATTTTGCCTCATTTAAACTCAAGTTGCCATATTCTTCTTTTGGACCACCCTGAAGCTCTTACCCTCAAGGAACAACCTATTAAGACCGAGGTTGATTAAAGAAGCTTTTGTCACCGTGGCATTTCTTCCCTCAGGTGTCGTGGAGTCTTCCTCACAAACAAGCCAGCTCTGGAACATATCAGGTTAAATTCTTCGACGAAGAGTCCTACAGTGCCCTGCGCAAGGTTAGTGTTTGATGCACCGTTTAATAAACTCAGTTTGCTGCCAGTAAGCTCTGCTGCATTTGCCATGTTCAGGATTTAAAGGATGTCTGTTTTAAATAGAATGTGTACACTTCCTTTTGTTACAGGCCCAGAGAAACAATGAAGATGTAAATTCCATTGAGCCGCTCTTCTCCGTCAACATTGATCACAGGGTGAGTCTCTTACTGCCTTTAAGAGTAAACGAGTGTATGTACTATTCTACCAGAGCAACACAACTCTAAAAACCCAACGTATACACTACCAACACAGGGTGAAAGGGGACCAGGTGGTAAACTTTAGTAAATTTAGCAGACACTTCCATCAGAATATATTGGAGACCAAAACAGACGTTGAACGTGCTGCTCACTCGCTTAAACTACACAAGTAAATTGTTACAATATTTTGGGGCAATATGTTGTTCTTGCTCGTTAAACGCATCCACCACAGCGGCCATTCCCAAAGATTTAGCACCCACCATTGGGTTGAAGGATATTTTATTATCGTCTCCCAGATTTCATTCTGCAAAACAACTTCTACCCACACGAGGAAAAAGAATGTGGCTATTTTTTCTGATAAGTGTAGTATATTATTAACATTGAATACAAAAGGTTTGTAGTTCCATTTTGATAAGAGGGACAAATAAGAGGCTGACAACTCAATGTATTCATTTTTTTCTATTTTATTAAGTATTTTTAATGTGCGTGTGTATAAAGTAGATGTGAAAATTCTCAGGAATGTTCATTCACACTCAAATTCGCTCTTCTCGTGACAGAGATATGGCCCATTGTGAATGGGGGGGCCTAGCAATCGTGTTTGGGAAACTACTCTACAGTGCTCTTCTCTCCTAATTCTTCTTAATAATAATAATATAATAATAATTAAACGGCTCAAATAACATTTAAAATATATCTTTGTCGCTGAGAGCAATGCAATGTGACCCCCAACCGTAGCAATCTCCCGTGCTGCCCTCATCCTCGTAGTATTTCCAGAATCTGGTATAACTGGAATGTTGTGATTTGTTAAATTCTCTTTGTCTGAACCAGTGAGCTTTTAAAAATAAAATCTCTCCACAGGGTGTGTGGAACGGCCCGTGGGTGGCTACTGAGGTGGTTGCCGCCCTCATGGGCATCCTGGTCTACTACATGGCTTTCACCGCTAAGAACACCATCCAAGCATAAACGTTTCACAATTACTGGATTGTTAAAGACTGAATTCTGGTGGATCTCCACCAACAATCCATCATCCATTGTGGTGGCAAGCCGATAGGATTTTGCCACTTGATCTGCGTTGGAAAAAGCAGCAAGAGCAGCGGTCTTTTTATATATTTTTTTTAAAATTCGGACTGTGTCTGAATACCATCGGTCTTATCAATTTTTCAGATGACTTTCGTCACAAGTTTTGTCTTGTCAATAATGGATGGAGTTTTGTAAAAAAAATATAAAACAAACCATAAACCTGGATCACAGAAATAAAGAACACACACGTAGATATTGTACTGTTTTCACTCCTGCTTGAGACCAATTTCTATGTCTTACTCCGCTTATTCTGCGTCGATGCACTGGCAAGAGTGGGACTTGCAAAGACGTGATTAACTCCAACAAAGCGCAGTTAAAACCTCAATGCGTATGTCAATTATCTGACTGCAGGTAATGCATTAAATAGCTTGTTTTACTTCCAGTGTAAAGTTTCGTTCAATCCATTGACAAACCTCCCTTAAGTTTTATTTTTTATTTTTTTCTCTGACTGGCAGATTGATCATCCTGTGTTCCATAGCGACATGTCACTGAAGTTTTTTTGTTGTCAATGGTAAATTAAATCGGGATGTTTGAATAATCCCTGATCTAGATCAAACAATAACTGGTTTCAGTCAGATTTAGCCTCACATTTACTGTATTTAACATTGCGACAATTTTAATCATTCTGAGAATTCATTTTGTTCCCATTTTGAAATTGAATAGGATCTACAACAGTAAATGAAACCATGAAGAATCATAATATTGTGAGTTTTAACCCTTTATTCTCGGTGGATGGGGAGTTTTTTTTCGGTTTCAATTTGCTGCGGGCATTGCTAGTTTGTGTGTGAGGGCAGAAGCAGCAGCTGATTGTGTTTTCTCCTAATGCGCACCAACAGGTAGCGTGTTTTATTTGTGTTAAACCGGAGGAGTGGGAGTTCCCTTCCTGACGGGCCGGGGTGCAGTGCTGCAGGTTGAACACACCGTGGCAGCTCCGCGCCGCCTTCATGAAGCGCGGGTGCCATCCGGCGTGCGGCCAGCTATTACCTCATGGGAAGATTGCTAATGTAATGCAATACATTGCAAAATGCGCTTTGACCCTGTGTTCTGTGGGTCACGTTTCCAGGTCGTATCGTGTGATCTGGTCCGTTACAGACGTTTTAAACTTGGTACGTCTATTTCTGTAGTTGGCCTGAATCAGTGCTTGGACACACTGTTCAGATCATGTAGTACTGCTTTTTTGAATTGCTGACTGACTCCCACAAGGCTCTTTGTGTACAGGTAATGTGATCTGCAGAGTGCCTTGTCATCACCAACGCACACTTATGGTGGCACGCCGCAGCTTTTGTCTCCTGTCCCCTCCGGCGTGGACACAATAGAGCCATCACAAACTTGGTAATTGTGTGAGGAGTGCTGGAGTGATTCCAGAGACTCCCTTGTGCCCGTGGGAAGAGAGGCGCATCTCCATGGAGGATATAAATGGAACAGGCAAACGGTGGAAGAAGGCAGCTGAGGGACTCTTCCTTCTCTTTGTTGTGTGATGGAGTGTTTAATGACTTCACTCCACATATCAGCACAGACGTACACTTCCGGTTGATGTTGCAATTTATTCTTTCAATGGCAGTGATTTTCTGTATCAAACAATAATTTACATAGTTACCGAAAGAAACAAATTGGAATCTGTGTTTTATTTAAGTACACATTGCGTAAGCCAAATCTTGGTCGTGGGATCCGGTGCTGTGAGGCAGAGAAAAGCTGCTGGGACAGAGGTGCGTAAAACCCCAGCAGCTGGAGGCAGACGCTGATTCGGACTTAGTGAGATCCAGCAATGTGGAAACTGACGTCACCCCAACAATCCTCACTGGCAGCAGCACTTTGTGTGTCTGATGCAAGCGTTGTTTCTGCTCGTACTTCACTTCTTTTCAGAAAACAGAACAAAGTCAACAAACTGATGGCGAGTTCAGTAATCAGTAGGGGGAAAAAAAACGATTTATGCAGTTATTGTTCTTATTTCACGGACGTTTGAGCCTGTTTAAACTGGCAGCTTCTTCCACCACCACAGTTGGACTGTTTAGAGTGGATAAACCCTCAGCTCCAAGCTTTTGTGCTTTGCTTTATCTCCCTCTTGCTGTCCTGTAAGAGTATCATGAAATCAGTGTGTGCCTGTTGATGCAGTTGCAAGGCAAGAACCAGACGCGTATGGGGAAATGCCCTTTCTCTTCTCCTCTGTCACACTAGACGTGCTCTTGACTTTTCACGCTGCAGGTCAACCGCTGCAATTGAACTTCTCCTTAAATGAATCTACATGCTCTGCTGGCCGTTTGCCACAAAACATAGTAGCTTAAACAGAACCCGACACATTACAACAAATTGTCGTAAATCCACTGAAAGCGGGTTGACTGAGCTCCCGTGAAATGGATTTGGTCAGACTCTGTCCTCATGCGGGTTTTTAGAGGGTCTTTGAGGTGTAGACACAAACCTCACTTTGAGTAATGAAAAGCAGCTGGGCGAATGTGATAAAAGCCTTGATTCCTGTGGCTCAGGGGGAATAAAAGATTTGCTCTTATTTAAAGTATGAGCCACCTAATTTTAATTCCTAATAAAAACAACTGTGGCTGCAGAAATTAACCTTCTATTCCGAACGGCCTGCATCATTTTCCTTTTGCTTCCGCTGTCTGTAAAGTACGCTGATTTCGAGCTGGTTTGTGTGCTCGGTGTCTTGGAATGAGCTCCTTAGCAGCGTCGGCAGTCATCAGGTCTGTTGGCTCATGAGTTAAGCAATGCAGACGCATTGCTCAGTGTAGCAGAGCTTCTGGCTCCAGGTCTGATTAATCCGACTTTGGTCAGGGCTGGGTCGCTCCGTCGCTGGACGCACTCCTTGGCTGACCCTAAATTGATTTGAAGGGAGACATTTAGCAATTTTCCTGCCCTTGTGACAGTCACACAGACGAGTGATTTATTTCCTTTATGCCCTCCCATCACAGCCGCGGGGCTCTGCCCCACTGTGATGAAGAAGTGACCTTGAGTTTCAATGTCATCCTTGCTTCAGCTTGGAAACCATAAGCATCACATTCATTCACATTCATTCAGCATAAACACACACTCTGCAGGATTAAAGGACGCACTGATCTAGCCTGTGGACCTTCTATCATATGCTCTGACAGGAGTGGGGTGGTGGTATCATAGTTCTTCCACCTTCAGGAAACAAGACGTTGCAATGATGAGTCAACGTGTAGCAAGTTCTCCATTTATTGCATGGAGCATTCATTATTTAGCGGCTTTTAACTAATGGCTGTGCACACAGAATAATGCAGAACGAGTGTGTGTGGCCTCTATACCTTCAATCTGGAAGGATGGATGGATCAATTCTTCATGAATCATCCGCTGACCTTCAAACTTTATGGCAGGAAGCTGAAAATGAATGCACTGCCCAAGTGTTTTGGAGAAGTTAATCTATTTCCTGATATTACGTTATTAAGTTCTACACACTTCGTTGTTGCTGGCGGAGAATCGAAGTGCTTCTGGGGAACAACTGCACAGAGGCGAGTCGAGAGCACCAAACGCCTTCGCCGCAAGGAGGAAAAGGGTTAAGTTCGAAAGGGCTCCTCCTTTGACCCAGGAGAGTACTCCCGGGTCTTAAAAGCTTTGTGCTGTCCAGCAGGATAGAAACACCACCCTGTTGTATAAAAAAAAAAAAAAAAAAGGATGCGCTTAACTAGCTCAAAAGGATTAAACAGCATTTTAAAATACCCTTTTCCTGGAGGATCTAATCGGAAACCAATAGTTTGACCAAGTCCATTTTAACCACACACAAATTAAAACCTATATGTATGTACAGTAGTTTATGCCACCCTAATTTATAAAAAATAACAACTTTACTATTATAAGTGTTTCATGCAGTTCCAGGGCATAATACATTACTTTGGACACAGAAAAATGTAATATAAAATTGTACATGAAAATAAGGCAATACAAGGAGCTAATAATATATAGAAACATATACTGTACATATATGTATGTATCTTCCAAATATACAACCATAAATAAAAACACAAGAACACGTGGCTCTTGGTGTGATATATAACCAATGAGCGCATCTAAGAATAACATGGTTGACATCACCATGCGAGGCGAGGGAGGCCCGTCTAAAAACAGCTTCGGACTTTACAGGCACTTTGTTTGACAGGAAGAATTCGCACTGTTGATGCAAAGTTTTTCTTAAACTGACATGCAGTGGTTTCTCTTTACACGTTACATGTCCGCTGAAGCTTCATTTGAATTTATTCTACAGTCAAACTTAAAAAAAAAAAAAATCTTTGGTTTAACGCCACACTGTTTTCTACTTCTACCGATGATTTACTTTTGACTTTTATCTTATGTGATATCTAATGTGCCCTACATTTTCAATAAATATATTTTACATAATTCATGTACATGGAATGGTCTTTGTTTCCTTCCCGCGTCTTATGTTCTAACTTTATATATTTTATATATATATGCTGTTTGTGCCAAGCACACTCACACAATTTGCTGCAGAAACATGCATTGTTCATTTTCATTCTTTTAGATTCTATCGTTTCCTGTCACTTTGAACGTTTGTATGCGAGTGCGTTTTTGTCAGCATTAAATAAAAGTATTTCTGCTGCACCGCCCTCATGAGTGAATCTCCACCCAACGAATCACTACTTCCTTCCAACTGCATACTCCCTGAGCAAATGTGAATTCAGCCACTCGCCATTAATCGACTTTCTTTGATTCAACAACGTTTGTTCACATTATTTGATTTTATTTGCCTTTGCCTTTGGACTGCAGCAGCTGTAACATGTCGTAAGCGGTCTGTTCTCGGTCTCGCTCTCTCTTGCTGTCAATATGCATCTCTCTCCCTCTCTTTCCCTCGGCCTGCTGCTTTGCTGTCTCTGCACCCATAGATCTGTCTGCTGCTTTGGACATTAGGCGTGCCGTAAGGCTGGTAATGCACCCAACCACCCCGTGCATTCCTTCTGCTCAGTAGGGAAAGAGCTTTTCTCATATGAATTCATGCAGAGGTTCCTGCTCAACTGCAGCGGAGGTAAAAAAAAGAACGCTTCACTTTCAAGGCCATTTTGCATTGCAGATGCTGTCCCTGACATTCACTGTACACTCTACAGTGCTCTCATAAAAGGGTGTTGACATCCTCCATGATACATTTCCTCTCTGCTTGGGTAGAGAGGATCGTTGATTACAGATAGAGGACTTGTTGACAGTACAGCTGTCCTTTGTTGTTGATAACATCTGGTAGAGGTCAGCGCGCTGTGTTGTCAGGCTGCGACGCCGTAGGTGGTGCTGGCAGAGTTCTGTGCAGTAGCACGTCCTTCCAGCGGGCCCATGTGCACCAGTACATGACTTTTCAAAGGTGTCGCTTTGCTGGTTTGGGCCTCATCGCTCTCTGTCAGCACAGGCTGTCCTTGGTGGTGGAGGTGTGTGTGGCGGTGGAGTCGTCGGGCAGAGAGCCTCGGCGGCCGGATCGTGACCGACACTGCAGCAGATTCTGCAGCTCTCTGGATACGCTGCTGGAGAAAGCGGTGTAGATCCACGGATTGGTGCATGAGTTAAGGCTAGCCAGCAGCATCAGGATAGTGAAGGCCACTCCGGCTAAGGACACAAACGCACACATACACAACCATCATAAGGCAAGCTGACATGCAAATGCAGAAACAAGAACATACAAGCATAGCATTGCAAGTGTACCCATGTGCAACTGGACACAAACAAATATCTTATACAACTATATCGTTTGATTGAAAACAATACTTCCATTATCATAGACAAGTATGTGTCGTTTGTCTTTAGCTTAAAATCACAACTCACACGTCCAGACCACACCTTAAGGCTCCACTGGGTGTACTTGCTTTATCATCAGTTGCCAGTAAACACGTCAAGAGATGATGTTTGTGTGCCAAACTGTACAGAAGCCAGGGATTCCGGTTGACCTTGTATCGTTTCACTGTAACCACATCTGAGCCGGAGCTAAACGTCCTGAATACAATCAGTATGAAGACTCACCGAGGCGGAAACACCAGCATCAGAGTTTGTTGCTTTCAACTAGAGCCAATTGTTTGGCTTTTGTTTGTGGCTGCGTGAATTGCAAATTGATAGGGGTTTGCACATGCAATATAATGTATTGTATAAAGAGGATAAAACTATCTAATGAAAAATACCAACTAAGAACAATGGTTATAATCTGGTTAATATTTCTGGGGTTGAATTGCGTACACAGGTGAATGTAACGCGTGTGACTCACTGTGACTTGCAGGGTTGGGGTCCCACGCCGCCCAAAGCTGGACGATGAAGAAAGGCGACCAGCAGATAGTGTAGACCAGTACAATTACCAGGGTCATTCTCACTGTCTTGGACATGGCTTTCGTGATGCTGGGCGGGGGAGAGGCTGGAGGGGGGGGGCGGGTGTAGTCTATGGAGCAGCGGGGTGAGCCGGAGTCTACTTCGTAGGCCGTGAACAAGTTCAGGCTGTCTGAGCCGCTCAGTGTTTGCTGTTGTGCAGGCAGCGGTGTGGTCCTACTGAGTTCTTCGCGGAAACGGATGTACAGGAAAGCAGACATGTCCCTGTCCTAGCACTCTCCGTCTTGGGTGTTATTAATGGGCTGTTAATCAAACCCTTTAACACTCGTGCTTCTCTGCCATTCCGACCTCGGCCTCAGTATTACTTCATCCTCTCTCACTCTCCCGCTCGTCCTGCTTCTTAAAGACGTGGAAGCGGAAGAAGAGCTCATTCTTCTTTAACTTGGACGTCACCACCCTTTCTGACTTAAGGTAGATGTTCTTGTGAATCTCTCTGAAGATTCTAATCTAAAAAGTAATTTTTGGAAACAAGACAAACAATCAGTTCAAAACCCGAGGGTCTGAGAACTGAGTTGACTGGCATGTGCCATGTCACGTGTGTTACGGCATGACCTCCTTCTGCACAAACAACATAGTACTTCTGAAAAGGTACGCCTCTCAAGTTGAAATCTCATAAGGAAAAAAGATCAGGGATTGCTGAGATCTGGTGTATTTTTCCATCCTTAGGCGGGAGGTTCTCACAGTAGGTAGATTTTCTGAGCAGCAGCCTCAGCAGAGGTTCTGCGAGTGCTGTGTTAATTAGGGTTAATAGCAGGACCCTGGAAATATCTCTACAGCAGCAGGGCTGATGAGAGGCGGCCCAGAATGCCTACCCGCCTTAGGATGCTACATAACACCACCCACAGTTCCTGACAGGTCAACCAAACAATGCCTGTCAAATGCATGAAGACAGGACAGAATATAATTTAATGCCACGCGGCATTCGTTACTCTGTAATGTTCCTTTCGAACGCGTTGTCCTAGTCGCTAGTCGAGACTAGCTGGGCGTGGCAGAGATTGAGAGGCAAGCCGTATTACCTGACAGATGGTGATGATAAGGGCAGGAAGGACGAAGACAGCCACGGTCATCCAGGTGATGTAGGCCTTCAGCCCCCACGGCTCAGCAAAGCGACCCCAGCAGTCAAACTCGCCAGCACTCACTTCCGAGCGGGAGAATATGAACACCTGACAGACCACACAAAAGGCCGGTGGTCAGCACGCCCCGCAGATATGACTGCCAGTTTCATCTCCCGTGACCTCGCCTATAGCTAAAAATAGAGTAACATCTTGAGCTCTACTATAGAGATCAGGGTGTGAACACCCCGCTGGTTTCTCATTTCCTATTTCACCATGTGGCGCCGTGTTTGTGTCAGGTTTTATTGGGTCCTACCTGTGGTATGCTGAGGACAAGCGCCAAGCCCCAGGCCACCATGACAGGGGTGTTCCAGCGGGACATTGATCCCCCACGGTAGGCCTGCAACGGGCAGCAGATGGCCTGGTGGCGGTCTACCGTCATGGCGACGATCATGTAGGGGGATGCGAACATGCCCACAATCTGCAAGTACTTAACGGTCCGGCACAGAAAGTCAGGCCCCTGAAACCTCCCCGTGATGTCCCATATGAGTTGTGGAAGAACCTGTAAAGACACATGAAGAAAAGGGACCATTATGAGAGCAGCTCTTGGAATACCGGCGCTTTTTCCTGGTGTTGCCTTAAGACATCTGAGAAGCACTAAAGGCAAGTCTGATGATACTCCATTCAGATTTCAGGAAAATACCCTAACAAGTAATGCATTCATGCCAACAACAAAGTAGCAAACGTATTGCTTGCGTACTCTGATCAATGTTCACACACACAAAACATTTTCCTTTTTTGCCGCCTTATGCTGAAAAAAAAACCCAATTCTGAGAACTACAGTTTCCAGCTGTTTTATGAAGTGATTCTAAAAGCGTTTACATCTTTACCAGGAATGACTGGGTTTTGGGGTTAGAGAACCACCATGTGTACGTCAATGGATTTGTTACCAGAAAGAAGGGAAGTAAGAAGAAGTAAGAAATGTAATTTACTGTCGATGCTGAAGCAAAGTTGTTCTGGTATACCCGAGTACAGTTTTTGAGTATTATTATCTTTCCTTTCACTTTTTCTTAATTCATTTATAGTCGGCCTACTTCCTCCCTTTTTTCTGCGTAAAATCAAAAGTCACACGAAAGGGTGGTCAACCCAGTGAGAACTGAGAACGGAACCGCAGAAAACTTCAAGAGAAGAAACGTCAGAGCATCCACCGAGAGGTCATACTCCGGAAATGGGTGTAATAAATATTTGCGCTCTCGGGACGTCAAGATCTCGGGTTGTTAAGGGCCAGCACTTAGTAAAATGAAACCGAGCATCAGATATTGCCTGTGATTGTATAAATGCTGCGTCCTTTTTGGATCACGATTGATTACACACCGCGGGTTGGCTAAAATGCTAAACGCTAACCCGATGCTAACTTGCTCTGGTGGTTCCTTCACCGAGGAACTTCCTCTGCGAGATGTGTGGTGACTTTCTGCTGCTTGAGATCGTTGATCTCTGACGTGGCAGCTATAGGTTGATTCTATGGACTGGTTCCACTGGGAAAGAGGCCGATCGGAGTGGCCTGATGTTTCTCATGTAATGTAGCATTAAAGAAAACCTTTAGTTTGTTTTGTATTTTAAAGATTATTTTTGGAAGATCCTTTGACAGTGTTTGGACCACTAGAAGGAAGGATTCATCTTTTGCAATTCTTTTACGGTCGTGTTCAAAAGTAACCCATGAACTGACCTGAAAGACGGCCACGACCAGGTCAGCCACGCACAGGTTGACCATGAACACATGCATCGGTGCATTGTACTTCCTCCTCCTGAGCAGCACCCACAGTACAAAGCTGTTTCCCAGGGTGGTGAGAGCCAGCACCACCCCGAGAACCGCGATCTCTGCCCGAGCCAGGCCCGGGTCCCTCACCCTGGGCTGGGGCAAGGTGTGAGGCGTGGTGGTGGAGAAGTTCTCGGAGAAGATCCCAAAAACGGATCCTCCGCTGTGAGAGCTGTTGAGGGAGTTCAGTTCAGAGACAAACAGGGAAGAGGAGGAGAAGTTGTTGCTTCCTGTGGTGCCTATGGAGGAGAGGGCCAGCCCATCCCAGCCCGTTTCCACGCTGATGCTTTCCATTCCTGAAAGACAGACAACGAAGGGTTAACGCGTGAAAACAAATAAAATAGTTGTCGGATTTGTTTTTCAATTTTGTGCGCAAAATGGGCCCCAGGAGTCACACTGGTGCTCGGTCACAAGATTACGTACGCACACATTTCACCAGGCGCAGATTTTATTAAAACACAAAAAGTTGACTTGTTCGGTTGTATCACTATATCAATGACGTTGCTGAGCTTGTAATTACATTTCCTCTGGTTGTCCTCAGATCCGTCAGCTGAGAAATTCTTCCTGATTAGAATCTAAACCAAAAGACTTTGGCCTTTTATTTAAAGTACTTGACTAATGACATGAGATGCATAATTAATCACATTTTGGTCCATCTGTTCCATTTTTAGACCACAAATAGCTTGTTATGCAATTTTATAAAATCTGACTGAAAGTAGTCAGAGGTTGTCCCAATCATGCGGCCGTGTAAATATTGTTGTGTTTTAATAAGTCTTCAGTGTTTGCGTCTCTCAAAGCTTTCAGTTCTATTCGAAGCAACAGTTTATTTTCTTTTTCATATTTTCTCAAGGTTGATTGACAGCTCTCCCCTCTATCCCACCACTCTTATTCCTTCACCTCTGCTCTCATAATCGCTCCCATCCCATGCTTACCCCCTTACATTCCTGCTTTCCCCTGTTTTTGTTCACCCCTCCCCCCTCACCCCCTCACCCCTCTTTCTTTCCTCTCGTACGTCCAGTCATCCTTTTCTCTTCCCCTTCTCACACTCTCGCTTGATCTCAATAAACTTCACGTTTATTTTTCTTTGCTTATAAATAAATGTCTCCGAAGAACAGAAAGTTCGAAAGTTCGGAGGAGTAAGGACACGATTTAAGAAACGGACTCGTGGGATGTAGTGGGACGCCTCGCTCAAATGAACCCAACAAGGAGAAAGTCTGGGAGGAAAAATGAACAATTGGAGATGAGTCGTGTGGGCAGTGGGGAGAAGGCGCAGGGAAACCAAAGCAGCACAGAAAAGGGTCAAAGTTGTGGAAAGAGAACAATAACATGTGTCCTGTCCCTGGACTCAGTGTGTGTCGGACGACACCACATTGATCTGACGTGCAAGGAGCGGTTAAGTATACAAATGCTACACTTTGCACGTGTAAAAATAGAAGGGGAACTAAATTCATGAGCAATTTGCGTATCAGTAACAATACGTTACGAGGTTGGACTCACTGCTGCTCGGAGACCCAACGGCCAATTTGTGAGTAATAGCAAAGTGCCTGCTGGGTGTGAGAGATAACACAGCTGAACGTACCGTCAAGCGTTACACACAGGAATGTGTTCAGGTGAACGCATGACAAGCCGGGCCAGCCGGACCCCTGCATGCAGAACGCAAGTATAGAGAGAGACAGTTGAAAGGAAGGGAATCAGAGCCGAACCATTTCCTCCACTTCTGAGAAAGACCCTTCAGTTTTAAGTGAGTCCCCGCTGTCGCGAAAGACGACCACGAAGTTCAAACCTGCGTCGGATCAGTGACTTTTTAGCAGTTTGCTGAAATATTGTTCCTGTCCAAAGGTCCTTTGCGTCAAGTAATATTCTTTTATTATCTGTTTAGAATTTTTAATCTTTTTGATTATGGCTTCAGACAACGAGGCCTTTTTTCATCAAGGAATCTCCTTCGTGTTGGCCTCAGGAGCCTTGTGCCCCTCTCTGTAATTACAGCACAGATTATGAGAGGATTCTTTGTGCTGCTGCAGTCCTTTTTATACAAACTATATAATCTCATTATGTTGACAATATTTGGTGGTTTTCATTTAGGTGAAAACCTAAAGAGGCATTTAGGACAAGGTGTAATGACGTAGGGAGCAGACAGATAGAGACGCACACTATTCTGGTAATGTTAATGTAATATCCCCAACTGCATTCTTCAAAATAAAATAAAATGATTAATAACTGGTAGGAGAATCTCTCTGTAAATGTGTGACCTTTAATGGGGAAGTGTGTGGGGCAGACGGACAAAGCATTTTTTACTTCTCCAAGTATTGTTATGATTATGAATGAGCCTCTGAAACTCCTGAAGGACACCAAATATTTTCTTCCGAGTCTCATTTGCATTGCTCGAGCATCCAAGAAATCAAGACGGATTGTCTTCAAAATGCTCAATGGCTCCACTGCCGGAGACCCATGCAAAGCTAATGATTCTGGCACTGATGCTACGTGTCCTTTACGGAGGTTAACTGTGGAACTGTTCTGGGTGCAGCTTATGTATTCCTTGACATGTCTCTGAAAGTAGATTCCACTTTGCTCTCTCATTAATAACAAAAAGCCAGGGGAAGTTTTCCTATCTGTCTGATTGAGTTGCTGTAGAGCCCAAATTATTCCATCTCTCCTTGCTGGGTGGGCCGTGGACGTTGCTTTTAGTTGTTAGTACTGTGCGGTAGCTTCCTCTTGTTATTTTAAGGCATTCACTTTGATTAATGGCCGTGTCGTTTGCTCTCATGCGTGCAAAAGACAAAGATCAGTGTTCAACCTTCCTCTTTTATGTCCTCCCCATCCTGCACCGCGTTACCCTACGCAGGACGATTCCTCAGGGAGGACCGAAACAGGTCATTAAAGTACGCCAATGAACGTTATAGCTGCCGAGCGTTGACATCGTTCACATCCTTCAGCATCTCGATCCTCTTTTCTCCATGTTAACACATGTTTTGGTCATTCGCTTTGACGAACTACGTCATGTTGCAGCTACGCCGAGATTTACAACTACTCTTAAACCGTCCTGAAGTATGTTGAATAACAAAAAGACATTTTTAGGGTGAGAAAATCAATACCATGTTATAGTGAATGACGCATTTATAATAATAATAGAACTATTCTAGTTTTGAGTTACTGAGCGTACACCTCATTTGATATAAGCTCATTTTAAGTGAAGATTTTTTGTAAATTTGCTTATGCAAATGAAGAGCTTTTCTTTGCTTTTCTCCCACATCATTACCATTTGTTTTACATTAATATCTTCATGACATGAAAATAAAACAGCGGGCCTGAAACATAACATTGCCAATTTTGCTACAGTTAAAATCAGGTCTCCAATGTTATATCTGTCAATGTTGCATTATTGATGCGTGATGGTGCCCGTGGAGCACAGACTTGTACTACTTTGACTAAACTCGAACGTGATCTCCACTGTGAAGGTTTACTTAACAATCATGTTTGTAGGGATGCTAATTTAGTTTGGTGTAAAAAAATTATACAGCGGATATCTGAAATGGTACACAAATGCCAGTAACACAAAAGCAAATAAAGTCCAGCATAAGGGACGGGAAGCAAATCCACTGCGGTAATGATGATCTCCAAGTGTCTTCAGTTTTGTCTTCACATCTCTTGCTTGGCAGGGAAATGCAGACCTCTCATTTTTGTATGCACTCATGCAGGTTTTACGGCTAATCAGTTGCTAACATGAAATGATTGTGGCATCAGTGGCAGATTAATGTGCTTAAATGTGCCCTGGGTGCAAAAATCCAAACTCAATGAAAGATCCTTCCCTTGCTTGCCTGTCTTGTGCATGTCAGTGTCCTGATTAGTTCCCTTTGACCAGGTTTAACTTGATCTGATAAATGAGGACCTTTCGGCCCTCATTAGCAGCCCAGTGTACACTTATACAACCTGTCGCTGATTTCCCCTTTCAATGCTCTTCTTCCTATTTCTTCCCCACACAGTTCGTTTCTTTTCACAATAACCCACCGACTCAATTTTCTCTCCTTCTGTCCAAACTGAAGCACTATCACATGTCAATAAGGATCAAATGTGTCTTTGATATGCGTATTGTTTCCCTCTGGATTTTAATTCCAATTGTCATCAATAGACATTATTTAAACCAGATTTAAATAGCCTGGTCCAATCCAATAATCAGATGGAAATTAAATGGAGCATAATGCTGCACCATGTAATATATTCTTTATTTATTTTTGCTTTTATTGGGGTGGCAGGAGACGTAATTTACATACCGATCAATAGATGTGGTGCCACACGGAGGGCTATGCTGCACTTCATCATGAGGCAGCTCTGACCCGCATATCATTAGATTAGATCCCCATGGGCGCTCGCACATGCGGCAAATATTCCCCGTCTGAATGAGTTGATTCAAATACTCCCTAAATACTCATGCATTTCAATTTGTTGTGGCACCTGCTGCACTTATTAATTCCCAGCTCCGTATCTATGATGTTTTCATCTTTTTCAGAGTGCATCACTCAGGTTCTAGCCTCCTGGCTGCAGCCCATGTGAGTCATAACAGTAAACACTTGTTCTATCGCGGTCTTGCACAAACAACTCATTAAATGTTAATCATGTGGAGCCGCACCTCATTGCACATGCTGATGCGCTCATTACTTGCCCGAATTTCAACCGTGAGCTTTGTATTGACAGACATCGGCATTTATTTCCAAAATTCTTCAGCTGGTGGACAGACATGGTCTCGGTCTGGTGTGGCAGGAGGCGCAAGTCCTGTTATCAGCACTGACAAAGACGGTTGTTCTTGTTATGTATCATTAACCAGGACAGTGCAGGTGACCCAAGGAAAATAAAAACAAAAAGTCCCACAAGTGGCAAAAGTCTTTCCCCAAGAAGAATGGAAACTGTGTCGCATTGTTACAACATGAAAAAACAAGCGTTTGAGTTTCTTGCTCATATGGTTACATTCGGCTACCTGATGTTAAGAGACCAAACTGACCAAATTGACTTTGGAAATAACAGCAATGTTAACAGAGTTACAATCAAGGGAAAGAAAATATTCTTCCAAACAGTGGTTGTCAGAGAGAAACAGCGACAGACATTTCTTCTTGAATGCTGTTAGTGGGACTGCCAAGACACATCTGTGTCCTCCTGAGACGCCACTTACAACTAAGACTAAAGAGACATTTCGATTTCAATCTTTATACTAAGCCATTTTCTATACACAAGTCTAGTCAGGCAATAGATCATTTTAATTTGAAGGTGCACCTTTGTGTGCACCACAAACACACAGCTGTTTAGGGGCCACGAATCTCCTTTTAATCGTCAAAAGACCTTTGATCCTACAATGCGGGCGCAACACACAAATGCAAGCAGAAAAAGCAGCAAACACACATAAGCAAAATAAAGAGCACCCCAACGTGGGCAGATATGCCTCTGTTGCCTCTCGCCTTGTTGTCAGTGCATGGCAAGCCTTCTTACACGTGTCCTTTTCTCCTGGTGTGTTTTGCGCTCGTCTTGATGACTCAGGGAACAAAGCATTCAGGGCCGTCACCTTTATTTGCCCATTAGCATTACATCAGATCACATGAACAACCTTGCGATCCCCTCGTGCCTTTTGGAATCCAGGGAAGAACTTAGAGGTCCGCATGAATTTTCAATTAGGCAGTGCCATAAAATATACCGTGACATACATACTGTATGTTACCACACTGACCGGCTACAAATACACAGGCTCTTGAGAGTTCCACCGCTTCATTAAAAGCATTAAAATGTTTCACTCATACTGTCAAATCAACGTAATGTGATATTCAGTCGTTTGAGATAAATAGATGACTACACTCAGAAAATATGAATGCAAAAATCATTCATCAGTCTATAAGCTGAACAAGCGTATTTCCTTGCAAGTAATTGTTTATGTAAATGTTTACTAATGAATTGGCAAACAATTTATTCCCTTGCCAAAACAGGTGTACGGATGTGGCACTGCGTCTGAAACATAAATGTGTTCCTCTATTTAATCTTATGTACATTGAATTGCGACGATTTCTTTCTTTTTAAGAGCAAGAATAACACCTCAGACGTGTATTATAACGTATATACAAATGTTGTACTAAACCGACAAATAATGATACTGATGATGACAGCATGACAAATGAGTGAAAATATTTGTCAAAACTATTTATAAGACACTGGATACAGAGCTGTCATGAACCTCATCAGATGACCTAGATTAATAAGTAAACATCAATTCCCTCACAATGTGAGGTCTGAGTTGTAAAGTGTTTTTAATTAAAATTAGAATTTTTGGATGATTTGTATTAATATTAATTAAGGTACAATAGTATTGGAATTCAAGTCGAACCATCACGACAAAGTAAATTAAAAGCACTCACTTGTGATCTTGTTGAGTGGTCCAGCTCTGTGACACAAAGCATTCAGAATTTCCCCCCAAACATTCACATCGTCGGTGCCGTCAATAACCACGTCCCTCCGCCTGCCGTGATATCTGCTGCCTCCTGAATGAATGCGCCTTCATCAGAGGCTGGTAGTTTGTATTCTCTCTCCCTGGGACAAACAAGGGCTGCAAGGGACTGTGTAAATCATTCGGGTGGCTCCTCCTCGCTCGGCCTGGGTTCAGAAGTGTGTGTCAGAGTGATCCATTCGATAGCCGTGCGTGTCCCAGGTCCCTGCACGGCACGTTACGCTCTTGCATGTGTGCTTTGCCTCCAGCACCACCAGCAGATATGAATCTGAGCTCCGTCGGCTCCCACTTGCCCCTCCCTCACACTCTCCCCTCCTACTGGGTCAATCAGCCTGTCCACTAGGACTGAGGGTGGAGCGTGGAGCCGGGGGTGGAGAGAGGCTGTAAAACGTACCTATGAAGGGTATCAGGGAGAGGGAGGTGGACAGGGTGACAGAAGCTCCTCCTCTCATTGGAATGACTGAAGCCCGGTGTGAGTAATCAATGCACACTATTAGTGGTTATATTCCGAATTTTGGCTCTCTCTTGCCTTCTATCTGATTTGTTGTTGAAGTACAAAGGCCAGCGCACTTCCACCTATCCAGGAATGCGGATTGGCTGAGTCAGCCGGCCTGCAGCCCGTCACGCCCTCAGTGTGCAAACAGCGCAGGGAAGGTTAGAGCAACAAAAATGCTGTCTTTTAGTTTTAATGCCTAAGCTCCCTGGCTCACAACCTTGGTCACATGATGGTATGGGAATACAATTGGCATGCATAGGTGTACAGTGTGTACACTTTTTTTCAATGTATGCATACGCAAGCACACTCGACCGCACAAACTCTGAACACACACAAGAATTGAACCAAACGGGGGAATGTTTGCCAATCGAAGCACATTTCTTTCGACAAGTAAACCTCACCCTCCTCCTGCCTTTTTTCCCTCTAAAAATGCCAAACTGCAGTTCAATGACATCTAGTACTATATCATTCCCATTCAGTAGCACCTGGCAGCATCGCACACGCAGACAGCATGCTATACTCATCAGTTACTCTCGGGCCTGTTTGTACCCAAGCCAGCAATCCTCGGCCAGCAGGGACTGGCTTGTCCCATGAGGTCAGATAACCTGGCGGTCTTCCTCGGTGCAGCTAGGTTCACGTCCGATGTCGACCTCAGTCGAACCGTCCTGTCCTGCCGCTGAGGAGGCGAAGCCGTAACCTCCCTGAGAGTCACTCTAATGTGATTATCCCGGCTCCTCCGGTGTTAGAGGACGTTTTGTCACAAAGGGGTAAAGCAGCAAAATTTCCCCGACAATCCACTTAGTTGCAATGACAACTGACAAGAGAAGAGAAGAGAGAGGGGGCCGCAGGAGAAAAGGCATTCAATATCTGGACGATATAATCACGTTGAATGTGTGACAGAGAGATAATGAGCAGTTGGCTCAGAGTTTGTGAAAATTCAAATTTGTACAGAACCTGTGTGAAGAACCGTATCCAGCATCAACCCACGATACACGACTATCATCTATCATCAAGTAGGGCGTCCTTTCAGTCGCCGTGCAGCACTACACTTTTGAGACCTCTAAATATCTCAATCCATGACAAGCTTTTCCTCAGAGATTTTGGTTTGACATTCTCCCACATGTGGAGGTTTATTTCCAGCTCAAAGTATTGTGCCAGGAATAAATAAATGACTGTTGTTTTCTCCGGAGAGGGAGTGTCTTTTCTAAAGACCTTTCAATGACACTTCTCAGGGAAGTCTTTAAACCATTAGAGGTGAGCACAATCATATGACTAAATCTTTTTCATTTAAGTTGTATAAATGGTCAATTTGGTCAATCAGGAGCTTTTGTCTTATTGGACCAGATAAAAAATCTATACGGTCTTTGGATACACTGAATAAAATCCTAAAACAGACGTTCAATCTAGTACACTTTTCAGTCGAAGTTCGACTCGGGTCAAGGGTCATAAACATGGCTGACATCAACCTCCGACAGCCATTTGTCTTCCTGTGAGACGGCCTGAATACGGTTTAAAGAAGTGCACAGAGCAGAGAACACCTGGTCCTACAAAGTTTTACACTGAAATGTTGAGAAACATCTGAGGGAATCATTAACTGTCAGCGTACCCATAAATAACAGAGGCCGACGAAGGATTTGGGATTCACCTTCTGTGTATCCATGACTTGGAAAATATACTAGATTACCTTGGCAGTAAAGTGCAGTTGTATTCCTTCCAAAGGCCCTTTTACAAACATTATTATTGAAGCCTTTTTCCTCAAGTTGCTACAATCATGAGTCACCTTTGCTTTCTTACCTCTAACTATTAGAAATATATAATCCACCTTTATGTGAATCATTCAAGTAAATGCTCTTATACGGAGCTACATTTAAAATGTGTGTTTTATTAAACTATGGTACCGTACCTATACAAAGATGACATATTACTCAAGTTATAGGGCTGCACCTTATTGGAAGTTTTCTCTATATATGCTCGTCCTTCTTCTCTGCCTCCAGCAAAGTGCAATGAAAGGGAAACTCATTATGATTGAGAAATTCCATTTCTACAGAAAACTATTAACACAATGCTGTTGATTGCTTTGTGAAAAATAATGAAATTTGCAGCACTGCTCCATTATGTTGATGGGGTACCAGAAATCCCAACAGCTGGTCACGTCAAACTATCTGCATGGGTAGCTAGCTTTAATGGCAGAGTGAATATGTAGATAGTTGAACCGGCCATTGCATGAACCAGGCATGCGTGACTATTGTAGATGAGTAACATCAGCAGTTGCCTCTGTCTGTCTGTGTATAGGGGTTCTGCTGCATACAAGAGAAAAATGAAAACCTTTATATTAGCCAATTCAATGTTTTGCATTAAGCTGAACTCGATTTTATAAACTTACTTGAATGGTGAGATTTATAATGTGAACGCATGTTTATTAGTGAGGCACAGTGGGATGACACACATACTGAGCACATGAGATAGTCCATGACGTGATCTGGTTACGGAATTTCAAAGCATCAAGCGTAGTGGTGAATAAATTCATCATATCATATCAAGATCTCCATATGGTCACAGTATGATAGCCATAACCACTTTTCAAAGATGAGTACCGCTATTATCTCTGTGTGCTTCGTCATTCTAATAGCTGAAGAAGACATAGACAAATAAGCTGAATGGCAGACCAGCGACCCTCACTGCCAAGTTGAATGTTAATGGAAGCTTGTGAAGAAGCACCTGATCCTGTGGCTGGGAACATTGATGGTGAATTGATACGAAGGAATACATCACAATAACAGTGATGCATGAAGATGATCCAAATCTCTGGCCAACTACAATCAATTTCATATTTAAGATTTCTATTTAAGAACTGGTAAAGGTACGGAGGCTACATGTGTGCATGTGGACTGTCGGATTTTCTGAACATCAGGAGGATCGTGAGCGACCCTGATACTATTTGAATAGATTAGTCAATTTTTTTCTCCTCAGCTTATTTCTGATCCCTTGTTTATTTGCTCAAAGAGAGTCCAGCTGTCAAACCAGATATCAACATTAATCTGAAATCACAATTCCTGCAAATGGTTGAAAATGTCCTTTTTTACATTGATATCTTTTCCGAAATTACAGCACATATAGGAAGCATTCAGGCAATCAAAGATATTCAAATTGATTTCCCAATCATTGTCCAGCCGAATATTAGATATATTACCAAATCAGCAGCATAAAGACGAATCATGGATTGACACATAACTAATTTGAACCTGCATCAATATTTACAGTATGTGTAAATAATAGTTTCCTCTACACATTTGTAACAGTCAAGAATTCAAACCTGCCATTATTTCCATCTGTTTCTTCTCCTCTTTTTGTCTCCTCAACCTGTCCCTCTACTGCTAGATCAATGTTGGATTTGTTGTTTGCACAGCAAACGTACATGAGGCTCAAATAAGGCCAGCGTGGACAACAAAACAAGTGTAGTGACAGAAAAGAGAGGGGGTGCTATAGAAATTGCACAAATAAGGCAAAAGGGTGTCCTTTATAGCACACAAAGTCCAACTCAATATGTTAAACAATGAGGGGTGTAACCGTTTCATACTTTTAATACAGCATGAAGATGCTTTTGAACTTTTGTTTTGAGGATCTGTTTGAGGATGTTCCATTTCCAACTGTCAATCAAGGGAAGCTGCAACAAAAACAAACTCACATTTTTTTTCCCTCCATCTCTTCTGTCACGAACAAAGTTGTCAGGAACGGGAGAAACAGGATTGTCTGTAATCCAAATGTAAAAGTTGGATAGAAAGCAGTGGAATGGTAATTCCACTTCTTTCCCCAAAAAGAAAAACAGACTCCGTGAGGAAAAAATAATTAGAGCACGAGGGCGGAGGGAAAATTCAAAGCAGTTGGCGCGTGAAGAAAATAGGACGCCAGTGACGTCACAGTGGAATGAAGTGCACCGTTCAGGGGCGTCGTGCCCGTGGAGGTGCCCAGAGCAAACGGTCTGTAAGCACACAGTGTGTACGTGATGTTTCCACACAGAGGTTTGTTTAGAGTAGCGGGAGTGTAAGAAGTGAGTATGCAGATGGGGATGCAGGTGTGGTGAATAGCACTCTGTGCGCTTTGGGGGTATCTGGGATAAACTGGCAGTGTCAAGGCTGTCTTGCCCCCCCCCAGCCCCCTCCAAATGTCCACCCCATTCGCAGGGTCCGACAACACACCTCACTGAGTCTGGACTAACATCCTGCTTTGTGTGTGTGTGTGTGTGTGTGTGTGTGTGTGTGTGTGTGTGTGTGGGCGGGTGGGGGGTTCATTGTTTATAGTTTGCATTTTTGGGAAAAATACTTTGATACTCACTTTCCGTCATTCACTTTTTACCACTTCTACCTGACCATTAAAATGAATCGCTGAACATTGCTGAAAAATACAGCTGCTGGTTAGCTTAGCTTAGCATAACGGGTGGATAACGCTGCGGATAACGCGAACCCTAAACTAATTTAAATAATATATTAAGCTTGGTAGAGAGAAATATTATACATACACTTACGTTGACGTGTTGATGTAAAAGAGCACTATTTATGGAGGGGCTGTGTCCCGTGTTTACATGCTGTAATATTTCACCAAATTACAAAAGACATCCTACGTATTGCGTAGTAATCAGAATGATGGTCTGGAATATTTTAATGCATTTATTCAATGCTCTGTTGAATCTGTTTTTTTATACGCTTTGCATACACCTGTAAAACCAAGTATGGAGGAACCTTCTTGCATCATCCTTGGTATTGCGCTTGGATCGAGATTGTGCAAATTCGTATGTACGTTTGTC